AGTCTAGATATATGAACAGGTTTAGAAAAGAGAGATTCTCCTAAGATCTGATAGCTCTTTGAGTCACTAGTAGGATTCACTCATTTATTTATATGACTTTTCTTTTCTAGGCTAGTGAGTGGTTCAGAAAAAGAGGATGCTTTTCTTTTTCTTTTCTACCCTTCCCCCACCCCCGACCTTTTGTGGTGCTGGCTATTGAGCTCAAGGCCACATTCGCGTTATGCGTGTACTATATCATTGAGCTATGTCCTCAGCCAAAAAATGTTGGAGTAATCAGCCTAAATCTGAGGACTGCTGCTCTTAAAAGACTCATAACCAAACAAAAATGATAGAGGTGATGAGTCAGCCATCACCCAATGAAGGCTCAGGCCCATCCAAAGATAGGCAGTTCTGCCTGGGATCTTTCCTTGTCCATTCTTCTCCAGAGAAGCTTGAAATGACTTGCATGATTTACAAACCCTTTAAAAAAAGAGATGGTAACAAATTTGCTTGCATGTCTCCCAGCAGCATGAACATAGTAGGTCAGAAGGCAGATCATCAGTTTTAACAACTCAGCTTTAATGGTAGAGTTGGGGGAGGCAAGGGGTAGGTAGCAGGGAGATAGGTAGCATTGTGCTTCTAAATCATTCTCTTGTTGCATAAGCAAAGATTACTTGTAGTTCATGCTGTTGAAGAGGATGGCCTTGAAGTAACTCATAGTAAATATATATTAGGTGTTTTTTGTAGAAGCCTAGACTGTGACAAGTCAGATTTCTACAATCTGGCAAAAACTACATGGAACATAGCCATGTAATGCTTGATAAGAAATGTATTCATTATCTTCCCATGTAATTGTAACTCCTCTGTACGGTATTCTCACAATAAAAAAAAGAAGTCATGGATGAGAGAAGTTGAATAACAGCAATAAAAGCTAATATTTACTGAGTGCTTTGCAGGCATTAGACTCAGAGCTTGACTTTAATTCAGTACAATCCTATAAAGTATATGCATAATTCTTTCAATTTACGGAGGAGGAAAAGAAGACTTAGAGAGATTAAATAACTTCCCAAAAGTCACACATTGCATTGAGGTAATAAATTGGATCTAGAAGAGTTATTTCAGGTAGAGCAGACATACACACACACACACACACACACACACACACACACACACATAATACACAATACATAATATATACATATATAATATCCTTTTATTTCTAAGTGTCTATATGTGTATGCATATGTATGTTATGTATGGAGAGTAAGCTGATATAAATTAACTGGGGATTCTTTCTCATATCTTCTGAAAATATCTTCACAGTAACATACACACATTACATAAGATTTTATACTGAAACTATAAATAAATGTGAATAATAATGTCTACTTTTTACTATTGTGCGGACTCCACAAGTTATGGTTATGAGAGGTTAGCTCAGATGTGGTTTGTGGTAAGGGCTCCTTGTTTCTCTATTGCTTTGGTATTACTGGAAAGGATGATAGCATGCCAAATACCCTAACTCCAAATAAAATAGCATTCTCACTAACCAAGCACCAATTGAGTGGTGATATGCTTGGTGTAAGAGTGACAAGTACTCTTCAGAATCTTGACAAAAGTTCGTGTTCTCTCCAGTGGTCCGGTCACACAATTTGGCCTTGACAGGGATCTTTGGCCAGAAACAGGGAACTCTGTGCTGACTTTCTATTTCACTTCTAGCACAACATTACTATACTGAAGGTGAAAGAGATGGGGGCAATGGCCTCAGAGAGAGGGAAACTGTGAAGTATCAGCAAATCGCTTAGTCCTCAGCCTTTCAAAGGCAGGCAACTAGTTTACTATAAAGAGGTAAAAGTAAATGTTGAAATCCTGGCCCAGCATTGTATAGGTTTAATTGTTTCTACAGGTGTAGGCTATTAAAAATTTTCTTTATGACCTGCAGTTATTTTACTAGAAAGGAGTATATATTTTATATTCATAATATGGCCAATAAATTAAAAACTCAGGTTTAGGCTATATAAAAAATTCCCCATGACCTTCAGTTATTTTAATAAAAAGGATTATACATTTCATATTCAAGGTATACCTAGGACTGTTCTAAGTTACTATATGTCAGCTATCATTAGGATAAAATTGGGACACATTGTTTTTCCAATCTGGTTTTATTCAACACTATGATTTTCAAAATGAGTACTCAGTAACTTTACTGTGTGATTGGTCAAAAAGAGGACCTCCATTGGGGTAGGTGCTATTAGTGGACACTGCCTATCTGAAGAATATTGTGAATTGAGCAAAGCAGTTGCTTCCCAGAAGGCTGATCATACCTTCAATTTTCCTTGCTTTGATGACCCTCAAGTGAATGAAATAGCATTCTTGTGATGTGAAAAGTTTGACCTGCTCACCTCTTACACTAGGGTTCAGTCATGGAAATGAATAGGCAAATTCAGCAGAGAGGCTGAAAACAGAGAAGAGTAATGCTAGAGATTCCATTCTCCTGGGGAATGAGGGAGCAAGAACAGCAACAAGTGCATGAGAAGAGGAGAGTGTGTGAGAAGAAATTAGAATAACTGGTGATCACAATGGTATGAAACACAAGAACACTAAATGACTTATTTAGTACATGGTCTTATTGTAATTTGTCTACTCACCACCACATAAAATATGGTTTTATAATGAACATGGATGCAAGCAAACAAACACATATGAAAACTATATAGCTCATGCATGATACAAACTATATAGCTAATGAATGAAATCCTAGCTTGGGAAGCTGAGATTGTTGGGATTATATTTGCAGGTCAGTCCATGCAGAAAATCAAAGCTCTTGAGACCCTTTCTCAACTAAGATCTGGATCTGGTGGCAGGCCTGTTATCTTAGATATTAGAAAGCCTAATGTAGGTGGATCATGCCCATGAGAAAACTTATCTTTCTCAAAAAGAAGCAGTCAGGGCTGGATGTGTTGCTAAATGGCAACAAGGCTGTCTAGCAAGTGTAAGGACCAGACTTCAGACCTTAGTAACACTAAAAGGAAAAGAACAACTTTGATCCTCTAAAAATTAAAGCCCAAAAAACTAGCCCAGGTCAGGAGCAGTACATTTCTGTCAATATCTTGGAAATATCTTCCTGAAGAAAGATATTCGTCACTGGTAACTTCAGTGTTCTGGGATAAATTTAAAAAGCCATTACTGGGGCTGGGAAGGTGGCTTAGTGGTAGAGTGCTTGCCTTGCATGCACGAGGCCCTGGGTTTGATTCCTCAGCACCACATAAGCAAAAAGAAAAAAAGCCGGAAGTGGTGCTGTGGCTCAAGTGGTAGAGTGCTAGCCTTTAACTGAGGAGCTGAGGGACAGCGCCCAGGCCCAGAGTTCAGGCCCCACGACTAGACCCCCCCACAAAAAAAGTCATTACCATTTGTAATCAATTTATAAAAGACCTAACTTAAATAATAAATAGATTAAGATTTCAGAGAATCTCCTTACAAAAGAAAGGCTTCCAAAAACTTTAAAGCTCTTGTGAGTTAGAACCACTGCTAGAGCTTTTCTATCTCATTTGTTAAATTAAGTTTGGAGGTATGAAACACCTTATGTTAAACACAAATGAAGTGATAAAGCCAACGTTCATGCATTTATTGGTGACTAAAACCTTTTTTTTTTCCACTGGTCCTAGGGCTTGAACTCAGGGCCTAGGCACTGTCCTTGAGCCTCTCTGTACTTAAGAAGTGCTCTACCACTTGAACCATAGCACCACTTCCAGTTTTTTCTGTTTATGTGATACTGAGGAATCGAACCCAAGGCTTCACATGTGCTAGGCAAGAACTCTACCACTAAGCCACATTCCCAGCCCCATGACTAAAGCCTTGTAAGAACCAAACAATAGATGAAGCAGGCTAAGGTTTTGAACAGCATACAAACACTACGGTAACTCATACCTATAATCCTAGCTACTCAGGAGACTGAGATCTGAGGCTTGCAGTTCACAGCCAGCCTGGGTAAAATAGTCCATGAAACTATGTCTCCAAATAAGTGGCAATAAAATTATAATAGGGGTCTCAGAAGGTGGCTTAGTGGTAGAGTGCTTGTCTTGCATGCATGAGGCCCTGGGTTCGATTCCTCAGCACAACATAAACAGAAAAAGCCGGAAGTGGCTCTGTGGCTCAAGCTCTAACCTTGAGCTGAAGAGCTCAGGACAGCACCCAGACTCAGAGTTCAAGCCCCATGATGGACCCAAAAAAATTATAATAGAGTGTATGACTCAGGTGGTAGAATGCCAGCTTTAGCAAGAAAGTTGAGGTAGTCCATGAGGCCCTGAGTTCAAGTCCTAGTATCCTCCCCCAACTTCTCACAATTTAGAAGTCAGTACATAATAATTTAAAGCCTAAATATTCTAGAACATAGGAACTTACATGACAAAGCTTTATGTGTATATTTTCCTAAATCTGTAAGCCCAGGAATAATTGTTCATTTTACTGCAGTTATTCAGTTTGCAATTTCAAAACATGTAGATCAAAATTACTAAAATACTACTGTTTTGCATATTTTTCCAGTTTCCTATGCAGCATTCCTTGTCATAAATACACATATATTCACAGTTCACAGTAATGGATGTTGTATCTGGAATGCTACATTTCCCAAACAAGGTTAAACACCAATATCAACCAAAAATGTCTTACATTGGTTGCACTGCATTTGCAAAAAGAATTAGGAAAGAGCCCTGGTTGACAGAGTTAAGTTCCTTGGCTATAAAAAATATATTTTTTGTTGTTTTTTTTCAATTGGTCACAATTAATTAAGTAACTAATATTAACTGCAAATTAGCTTTAATTTGTTTAATATGACGTACAAACCAAATCCAGGCAATATTTTCTTAGCAATTAATATTTTTCTCAGTAGCCATAGCATTTTTCTTTTAAAATCTAGAAAGTAAGACCAAAACTTTGGAAGAGGACTGGGATTTTGAAATGCCCATGGGGAAAAAAGGACAGGGGAGTATAAATTAGAATCTGGTATGCTATGTACTACTTACCTTCAAAAGTCAAATAAAACTTTCCTCTGTCAAACCAAACGAGGGAAGGCTGTTCATTCTCTGTATGGCCAGGAGTTGAAGCGGGATGGGAAAGGTTAAGGAGAGGGAGAGAGAAGGACACAATGTGAGTTACAGAGCAGGTCATTAATCTGACTGTAGGGGAGGGGAGGAGGCACGGCATGACATTAGCGTGCAGGGAAAAGGGAAGGCAGCAATCTAAGTTTATTTTTAATTTTTATTTCTTTTTAGTTAAGGAAACAGAAAGCAAAAGCAAAGCTATGGAGCCTAAAAGGATGGACACGCTTGTAGGTAGCTCAATGCTCAGTGCTTGTGCGCATGGAGCGGGTATCTTCCTGGCCATGCAGGGGTATCAGCCAAATGGGACTAATTTGGGCAAACTGTCATTCATCAATGGCTGTATCCATTTTTATCTTCAGTGTCAATCCCTTCTGTGTTTCCAAAAAAAATAGGATAAACTCAGAGTTATGACTTTTATGAAACATAAGCTTTTTCTCCATGACACCAACATTACATATCCATTTAGAGTTCATGGAAGATGTCATTAGTCTTCCGTCCCCATCTGCTGGAATCACCGTAGGCTTCCAGACACAAAACACCCTCGCCTCAGTACCAAAGAGAACACACGCTTACCAATGGTGCTTGAGTATGTTTTCAATTAAAAAGCAGTTACCAGACATGTAATTCTGAGCAGTTCAATGATTCCCTCTATTAAAAATTCACAAAGCGATGGCATCTCACCTGTTTTGAACCTTTTCACTAAGAAACTGTCATGCAGCCTGCTGCTTTTTAATATGCCCACTCAAAAAAAAAAAACAACCCACTATTTCAGTGGATGGGTTTCCACGATGAACAGTGAATGTACAGCGTGCATCTGATCGGTGCTGCACACTCATGAGGCGAGGAGCATGTCCATGAAATTTCTAGCATTCGGATGGAGAATGGCTTGGATTTAAAAAAGATCTAGATAGAGGGGCTAGAGATCACTAGGCTAGCACCATACCTGCAGGCGTGTCACAGCGCCTTTCAAACGAGGGCAGTTTGTCATAAAAAACATCATCTTCTGACACTACGAACCAAAGAAACATAAACGAATGGAAAACAAAAAAAGCACAAATACAAATCCCAAATGAAACTGAGCAGCACACTTTACTGATTGAAACACAAGAATGATTTTTATGGCAAAAGGAAACTCAACTTTGAGAAGTTGGGTAATGATAAGAAGATAGAAAGTGATGTGTGTATTGGATGATGATTCTATAGGAGGAAAGTTAAAACATTTTTTTTAAAAGTCAAAGTGTAGCATCTGTGAATTTAACAGACATCCCTGCAGAGAAGGAGGCATGTCGCACATTCTCAAAGAGCTGTGAAAGGCACCATCATTAATAATTGACGTGCACATGTGTTTTTACCCTGAGCACAGTCATCAAGAGGCCAGACATGCCCATCAACAAGAAGCACCTGGCAGAGCCCTTATAGCTCAGCAGGATATTCCAGCATACATACTCCAGCCCCAGGAAAAAAGAAGCTAGCTTTCAAAGTGACCTTAGGAAAATACCAGTATAGATCTAAGTGCCTACCCAACTACCCAGCTTCATCAGTATCCAAATGAAATGTGCCTTGCATCTGCCTTTGATATTGATGGCCTGCTTATTTCAAACAGTATCATTATAATTCCACCACTGGCCATGGTATTTAGTGATGGCAAAATGTCTTTGTAAATTTATCACAACATTATCAAAGATGCTCTAGACCTCCATTGCTTCAGGTCTTTACACAGTCTCCTTTCTCATCAACTAACAAACACAGTAATTGTGTTGTTTACAGATTTTTGATCTGTATGATTAAATAATATGACAGGTCTTGGAATATTATTACCAACAGCAGAAAGTTGAATATAGTATGCACAAAGGGCTGTAATGAGGAACTCTATGTGATTGTAGAGAAGTAAAAGATATGAATGAGGGTAGCAAAACAGTCCATCAACAGAAATGTTTTTGGGAAATATTCTATTGGCTTGCTGCCTAGAGTTTGGGAATAAGGCAGGGAAAGATTTTTCTTTGGTCAATTCTTACTATTCTAGGATATTACCTGACAATCTGTTTCTATTACATTTGTGATTTCCTAAATGGGTAGAATACGTTAATGCAATTCCTACAATATTGATGGGATTATTAGAGACAAGCCCTTCCAAACAATAGCCTCCTTTGTTGTTATGTAGCATATCTAGAAATAATACAATATACATATTTAGGAAGCATTCATAGTTTAGAATTGCTGCACATTTTAGAGGAAATAGTTTATGTTTTAGATGCTATTGCCACATTACTGAATGCAAATCACTTTTCTTCAAAGTTCTGAACCAAAGGAAGCATCAAAATCCATCTGATTCTTCCTTTGACACAAAAAGATGATTTCTTGTTATTTATTATAGAGTCCTGTAATGATAAAGATGCAATTTAAATTACATCGTTGCTAGTAAGGAGCATAACTAACAAATTAATAGGGAAGAAAAATTTTCCTTCTTGTAATCTTTTGGCAATGGGGTTCTAAGAAAGATTTTGCAAATTATCTTAAAATGACCATTACCCATTAAAATAAGAATAAACATAAATATTTAAAATTAGAGATAAATCTCCATTATCATTCTCTCCAGTTTTCTAAGTAGAAGTTTGTTCATTATTATAGAATAAATTTAAATATTTTCCTATTCATAATATTAATAGAATTTTCCCCAAATCTGGTGAGGTTTTTCTAGTACAAAAGAGAGTTTTCTATATTTCAGTGATTCTAAGTTGTCTGAAATTGGGACAGATCAGATATTTCATAACAAAAAATTACATCTTGGTTTATGTGGTAAATTTTTTTCCTGTTTCTTAGTCAAATAAGATATGGGTATTTTTAAACTGAGAATGTCTACAGTTCAGTAAGGTAAGAAGAGCTCTTTGTTATTTGAGATCAACAATACACAGAAAACTGTTTTCTCACAAAGACATCAGCTTTATGACTTTAAAAAAGATTGTACCCAAAATTGTTCATTTTATTAGATGGCTTATTGTATATTTGTTTAGACATGTTCTTAAAAGTCTAGTTCTTAAATCACTTTAAATTGGGCTCAATGGCTCCCACATATTAGCTCCAAGTAAGGTTCAAATGAATGTTATAGGAATGTCAAAACTGTGGTGGTGGAGGGAGAGGTGTGGGGATCTATTGACTTCAGGAAACTTGCAGCTGAAATTTCCAACCTCTCCCAAGCCATGTGACTACAGAAAGTGAACACTGCAAGTCAGTCATGATAAGGCCCTTTGGTTGTGGAAGAGTCAGAACACACCCAACAGAAAAAGGGAATGGCAGCACACAGGATTGCTGCTGGTCAGTCATTCAGCAGTGTATTTACTTTAGAGAGAAATGGCTGTCAGGTGACCAGCAGCAAGAGGAAACAAAGAATGGGGAGTGTGTGTGTATAGGGGGTGAGAAATGGAAACCAAACGGACAGATGAAACTAAATAAAAATAACAGACCAAACAGACTAATCAGTATCCTCCTCAGCAATGAGACCAGGAGACCAGCCTCTTATGTCAACGTGTATTTTAAACCCCTCTATGGCTCATCTTGGCTGGACATGCACTAGACTATAGAAACACTATGTCCAATGTATGGACACAGTTCAAACTTTTTATGTGTACTATTGTCCCTTTGATCGCAGTGAGGTGAAAAAATATGCTAGATGGTCCATCTGAGATTGCTTGGGGTGATTTTCTGAGTGACAGCTCACTTTGTTCTCTAAGAAGGAAAATCAAATGGTATGGTGTGGAGGGGAATGAATGCTTGAGAAAAGGCAACAATAAAACAGGAATGGGAGAAGGGCTAGAACCTTCAAGGATACTGAGGAGGCAGGGGTTAAAGACAACAAGATGAGGCTATAAGAAAGAAAGAACAAAAAACAAAACTGAGCAGTTTAAAAAATGGTGATAAATGTGCTGATCTGCATTGAAGGACAGGAAGCTCCAAACTTTCCAATCTTATACAGACAAGGAGCAGCTGTCCTATATAAATAATATTAAATATTCTCCTGTTAATAAACCACATGAAATTAGTTTAGGTGTTTATTATTTCCATCGCATTTAGAAGGAGGCCTTTGGGATGCTCTGATTACTGGAAAGAGTATGTGATTCAGGTGAAATTCCTTTGGGGCACACCTTTACTTAAGTCTTTGGGAAGATAGGCAGTTCTTTCCCAGAAGAACTTCAGACTTTGATCAAGCTACTTGAACCCTGGGCAACTCGGCAGTGTGCTTTTCCATAGGAGCACCAGGAATTTGTTTAGCTTTGGTTAGTGATTCTCCTGAGCAAAGCACGATGGGGAAGCTGTTTAAAATATGGAAGAACTAGAGGGCAGTTTGGACAATAAAGGAAGACAATAGGGAAGGAAGGTCATGTGGAAAAATAGGATGGGAATGATCCAGGTCAGAGACAACATGCAGTACAAAGGAGAAAGGTAGCAGGAGCAGACAGCAGGAGGGAAAAGAGAGAGACCGGCCTTGGGAGGCGGGGAGCTGCTCTAGGCAAATAAAACATTTGAACGGGGCTGATCATCTAGTTGAACAGCCACTTTCTGCACAGCAGGAAGAAAGAGGCACAAAGACTTTGACTGAAAATGTCACCAAATGATGTATATTTTCTGGGAAAATCAACCACATATCGCTGAAAACTATAGACAGAAAACTTTGCTCATGTCTCCCAATGTCAATGTTGATAACATTTGTGGACTTCAGGACAACTGAAGATGAGGAGGAAATAGTGAGTGCTTCAAGAAAAGAAAATTTCTAACTTTCATGACATGATACACAGTTGCAATTTCAACACGTCCTCTGAAAGGAGATTGTTTTTAATTCTCAGAACATTTTTTAATTTAATTATTTAAATTTCCTGGGTGATTCCTTCTTTACTTGGGTGAGTACTTTGGTATAGGATAACATAAGAAAACCCTTGCAAAACGTGGATGTACCGATTCTTTATTTCTGCAAGTGGAGGGCGTTGCCTCCTTTAATGAGAAGGTGCTTGTCAAATAAGAGTCATGTGACAGAGCCAACACACAACAAAACCCTTTCCACCAGAAACACCAGGGCCTTGGGGGAGTTCCAATCATAAACCACAAACAGATGAAAAGAGAGGAGAGAATCTTTACCAACTGTGGGAGTGGTGGCTGCACTCAGGGAATTGGTTGACGATATTGAAGAAGTGCTTTCAGCCCGGGCTAAGGGTGCTATCGGAGGAGGGCTGGAAGAATGTATGGGTGGGCTAAAGGGTCTGGACTGTAGGGAGAAGAAAAGAGATGAAAAGTTAGACACACAGGCTGTGGCATTTGGGTTCCATGTCTACTGTTTCCCAGCCCCACAGATGGCAACTGAGGTCCTAAAGATGTGCCAATGACACTATTTTACACTGCTCTGGATTCTATCAGGGCAGACGTTTGTGGAACAGAGTTGGAGGAACCAAAATCTATGGTATGCTAAACTCAGTAATCTGGAGTCTCTCTCACATACTCTTGGGGAGCAGGGGGTTAACACAGTGTATCTATCTAAAGATACTTAAATACAAAACATTAGACTCGGATAACTTCATCAGTTTACCACATTCATGTACCAGGGAAATTGACACATTAATTTCAGTAAAATCTGCCTCTGCCACAAGTTTCTTAGTTGTTCGCATAGGATGTTTCCTCAGCCCTAGAACAAAGTGTGATAATACCGGTTGCAAACGCATCAGGCCACCATGCTCCTCTTTCTATTCCCATAGCATTTGCAATCTCTTAAAGTTTTCTAAACCTCAGACATATATTGTGAAAAGAAAACACGTCTCTTTCAATGGAATATTATCATCTTCATTTGCAACCACCTCCTGTACCAGAGCTGAGGCCCAAGCATCTGATGCCTATCATTTTAGACTTTATCTTGAGAAAGCAGGTAGAGCTTTGAGGAAATGTAGCCATCCTGCAGCAACTGTCTTTCAGAAGCCACCTGTCATGGTGGCTCATATACATGCACTAATGCTCTAGCATGAAGTCGAGAATGTCCTGTGGTTAGGTACTTTGGGGTCTCTCATTCTTACCACCTGTGTCTGAGCAAGCCAGGGCAGAGTGGAGGAACATACCACATCTCCGACTCCAGGCTTTCCTGGAGGTAGTTTTGGCCGGGATGGAGGTCGAGGAGGAGGTGGAGGTGGAGTGGTACTGCTGCAGGGAACCAAGGGAGTGGCTGGTCGAGCAGGAGATGATGTACCTGGAAAGCAGACTGGTATTAAAAACAACTGGACACACAAAGGGCCTAAGCACAATCACGACTAGTACAGGGCAAGTCCCACCTATGTTTTTGGCAGTTACTAAACTAAACACAGCAGCACACAGTTTTTCTTTGAATAAAGAAAAAAAAAACTTTGGATTATGGTGGATGGCAGAAGCTGAAGCTTATCACCTTTGGTTGTCATGTGACACCCAGGGAAAGGTAAATCCTTTTATCATTCTATCTTTCACAGAAGGTAGTGAATGTTTAGGACTTTAGAGTGGGTGGTGGATAGTTTTTGTTTGAATCACATACACACTAAACTTAGGATAACTTCTCTTGCATTTTGTTTATATGTACAGTTTATTTCTGAGATGAAAATGAGGTTTAGAATTTAGAACTTGAAGGATGAATGTGTGATTTTTTTCTATATAAAATTTGGTTTCAATTTTCCCTTTTTATTTATTTAGAAACATGAGGTATTAAATTAGGGCCTAATACATTCTAGGTGATATGCCACATTTTTTTTTTTTCTTGGTCATAGGGCTTTAACTATGGGCTTGGATGCTGTCCCTCAGCTCTTCAGCTCAGGGCAAGCCCTCTACCACTTGAGCCACAGTGCCACTTCTAGTTTTCTGATGGTTAACTGGAGATAAGAGACTCATGGATTTTCCTGCCCAGGCGGGCTTTGAACCACAATCCTTAGATCTCAGCCTCCTGAGTAGCTAGGATTACAGGCGTGAGCCATCAGTGCCCAGCTCCTTTAGCTTGTTTTAAGATAGGATCTCACTAAATTTTCCTGGGATTGTTTTGAACTCATGTCTTCTTGCTTTTAGTTCCCTAGTTAGCTGATTGTAGGAGTGTATCACTATGCCTGGCTAGATCTTTTCTTTTCTTTCTTTCTTTCTTTCTTTCTTCCTTCCTTCTTTCCTTCCTTCCTTTTTTCTTTTCTTTCTCTCTTTCCTTCCTTTCTTCTTTTTTTTTGCCCCCCCCCTAGTTAGCTGATTGTAGGAGTGTACCACTATGCCTAGCTAGATTCTTTCTTTCTTTCTTTCTTTCTTTCCCTTTCTTTCTTTCTTTCTTTCTTTCTTTCTCTCTCCCTCTCTCTTTCTTTTTTTCTTTCTCCCTCTCCCTTCTTTCCTTCCTTCCTTCCTTTCTCTCTCTTTCCTTCTTTCTTTCTTCCTTCCTTCCTTTCTTTCTTTCTTTCGCTCTCTCTCTCTTTCTCACTCATTTCTTCCTTTCTTTCTTCTTTTTTAATTTTGGTGGTGGTACTGTGATTTTAACTCAGGGTCTTATAATTGCAATTCAGCCATTCTTATGAATGAGTCATACCTCCAGATAGATTTTCTTTTTAAAATATGGATAAGAGAATTATACTTTCAATTTATATTAAAGTATGAATAGTAACATTGTTAATGTCCCTAATAATAGATGGAATTTGTAAAGAACAAAATCTAAGAAAGTACATTAGATGTTGCATGAGTACTTTTGTATTGAATTTTAATAAAAGAAATACACCTAACTTAGAGGATTTAATTTCTAAATGAGTCTGTTTAGGAATCTGTCAAAGCAGAGTTTGCCTCTGATAGGTATCTCATATAAATTTATATATATATACATATATATATATATGTATATATATATATATATTTCCAGCCCTGCTTTATTTTGGAAACAGAATTGGTGGTCTGGGCAGGCCTTAAACCAAGACTTTCCAGATCTCAGCCTCTGAGTAGCTGGGATTGTAGGTGTGGTGTACAGGTACCTGGCTGCCTATGATAATTTTTGTGGCAAAATGTGGAAGTGCCTCTTGGATTTCCTTTTTTTGGCTGTCCATGACAAGCATATGAAACACAGATGACACACAGAGGCTGGCATGCACACCAGTTAGCATACCAGTAGGGTGTCTCCACTCTGGGACATGTCTATATCAGTCATACATCCAGGATGCATGGGAAAACTACTTGGCTAAAAACCTTAGGGAAATGAAACCAAACAGTTCTGACTCCAGAGTTTTGTCGCTTTGGTTAGAAACAAGAGGTTATCAAATGCTTCTGAAAGAATTATAAGAAATTCACCTCTAGGAAAATATTCAGCCTCTTTCCTTCATATCCTCCCCCCTACCTGTTGCTTCCTTTATGAAACTGATCATTGGAGTCCTAGATTAGCATTTTAGGCTGTAGTCTTTCATATTCTCAAAGTGCTTTGCAGTTGACTAGAAAAACCCAACTGAGATCTCTTCTTATGTTAGGAGATCCTCAGGACAAAGCTTCTTTCCCTTGCTTAAATATTTTGAAATCCTGAGAGTCTCTCCTCTGCCCTTATCACATTAGTGTGTCATTCTACATATCGCCATCATCTCCTCTTGACCTCCATCTCCTTCATCATGGCATCTGCATGTTCATACTTCTGCTGCTCTCTTACATTTTATTTTCTTGGATTACTTTCTACACCAGGCATTTTACATAAGTGACCTGACTCTCATGGTGAGTTTGGAAATAGGTGTTGTTAGTCTGTCAGTGGATCCTCATAGAGAGCTACGAATACTGAGATAACAGTGTATAACCTTCTACCGTATGAAATAGTTGTCACAATCAAAACTGAAGATGCTCATGGATGTGTGTGCTGAACGGTTTGGTGCTAGAGGAATAAGAGGCCTTAGATGAGGGTGATGGTAAAGATGTGTTTGATACAGAGACGTCTAAAAGGTAAAGAAGAAAAATGAATTGCTAATTCAAAAGTAGGTTTTCTTTTCTTTCCTTATGGATACCCTCCATCTACTCTTCACTGAAAGAGTGGGGTCAATTCGTTGTACAGTTAGGAAGATGCAAAGCAAGAGGACTAAGCAGGAAGCAAAAGGATGTTTTTGTCAAACTCTTCCTGACAGAACCCAGAGACTCAGCAGGGGATAAACTCAACCTGAGGGGCCTTTTACAACCCAACCAAGGATTCATAGGTTTCGTAAGGCTGCTTAATTGTTGCCCATTTTTAAAGGCATGGAAGGAATATTTTTGTATGTATCTATCCATACTCTGATTTCCAGTGATACTTTAATTTTCCCCTCAAGCAGGATGCATTTCTAACCATAGTACAGAGAAATAAGCTGTACAGTTTCACTGTTTCAGGTTTAATGCTAATGATCACACATGCTTTGCATTTTGAGTTAAGCAAGTTGGCAACCATTCTCAACTTGATATTTTAGCATAGTTGATTTGGTAACTCTTAAAAAAAATCACATAGCTTCAAAATTTTTTTTTGACAGTCTTAGGCTTGAACTCATGTCCTAGGTACTATCCCCAGGCTTCTTTTGCTCAAGGCTAGCCCTCTACCACTTGAGCCATACTGCCACTTCTGGCTTTTTCTGTTTATGTGGTACTGAGGACTTGAACCCAGGCCTTCATGCATGCGAGGGAAACACTTTACCACTCAGCCACATTCCCAGCCCTAGGTTCAATTTTTATTGTTTTCCTTGGTGTCCATTTGGTTGCAATAGGGTAGGAGCAGTGGTGGCAATTCTGGGGAGAAGGCAGAGATACAGGCCATACCATGCAAATCCTGGCTCTGCTCATCATTGGCTTTGTGACACAAATAGAATGCTACAGAAGATGAGGGAAGTATGGACTGTCTCTTGGCACCGATTTGACTAAAAGGTAAACTTCTTAAGTTCTCAGAGCCTCAGTTTTCTTATCTACAAAATGAAGCCAATATGCCAACAATACATTTGGGAAACTCAAGTAAATTAAAATATATTTTCCTTGAGATTTTCAGGCAACTAACAAACCTTTAAAACAATGTTTTGTGGAACACAATTACACTATTTTCTTAAAAGTATATATATATATGGCATTGGTTATATACTATGTTTCTGGGTTTTTTCTTTTTCTTTTTGCTGGTCCTGGTGCTCAAACTCAGGGCCTGAGCACTGTCCCTGGGCTTTTTTGCTCACGGCTAGTTTTCTACTACTTGAGCCACAGCTTCACTTCCAGATTTTTGGTGGCCAATTGGACATAAGAGTCTCATGGACTTTCCTGCCCAGGCTGGCTTCAAACTGTGATCCTCTGATCTCATCTTTCTGAAAAGCCAGAATTACAGATGTGAGGCACCAATGGCCAGCTATATTTCTGTCTTTTTTTGGCAACCAAGACTTCAAAATCCCTAAAACAGAGCTCTTGAAAAGAGCTGTGATGATTAGAATGTTCCAGGAAAGGACTACCCATTGTGATAAGTAGACATGTGTGGCCATCAAGCACTTGATGGCACTTAAAATTAATTTTAACTTACAATTAAAATAGTTCTTAGGCATAGTGATGCCTGAATTAGACATCGCTGCTCTAAGATTTATATTTAGGGAATATATTTGATTAATTCAACCCCAGTGTGTTAGTGTGTGTGTGTGTGTGTGTGTGTGTGTGTGTATGTGTGTGTGTTTCTGGGGTGAGAGACAAATATACATACACACACACACACATATATATATATGTATATATATATATAGAGAGAGAGAGAGAGAGAGAGAGAGAGAGAGAGAATGAACATATTTTAAACATTGCATTATTTTCCCAAGTTGGAAAATGCTGCCTGAAATTCTCTTAACTAACTCTTCTTTCTGCTCAGTTTCCAATCCTGCCACAGGCTAGTAAAACTCCTTTTCCTTCCTGTTCTTGGGCATTTAGTACCCATGAGAGAAGTGACAGCCTTTGCCAAGCCATTCCAATAAAGGAATACCAATAAAGCCAGACGAGGAATTTATAATTTTTTGCCATAGGTAAACTCAAGGTCTTGGAGCAAATTTTCAATTTCCAACTGTTTTCAGAATCAGGTAATTTTCTGATTCACAAAGCTGCGGGTGTTTCTACCCTTGATCAGTCACAGGCCCTACGCCAGGAACATACTTTACTCAGTTAAGTACAGTTACCCAATTAACTAAGTGTAGGGAAAGTTAGTCACATCATTCAACCACCTATTTGTTAAATGGAAACTCCTTTGTACAGGATATAATAAAAATACACAATGGGAAACATTGTTTGTCTTTAAAACATTAGGCTGAATCCTATTGTTAAGTACTTAAATTTTTGTTTCTGCCAGTTTGCAAATAAACCAAGACTTAATTATGGAGATGTTGGTGAAGAGTTCTTTTTATTTATGGTCTTCATTGGCCAAGTTCAACCTCCATTGAGAAGTCTGATCATTCAATGCCAGCAAAGTACAGTGTTTGGTAGCTTAGTTATTAAAAACCAATAGTCTTTACTGGCAGTATTTTAAACTAATTTCAAATAAAGGTTGTGAAGCTAAACATGAAAATAACAATCCAATTCTTAAAGATTCCAAAAAGAATACCAGAGCTACTCTCTTTCTCATTAGATTAGAGGTTGATTTAAATAAGCATATATCTCTTAGAGCTTGGTCAAAGATGATGGAGAAAATACCCATTGCCCTGTTTTCTCCATCCTGACAGAAGATGCTGACTTTGAATACAGCACAATAGCTCACTACTGTAGACATTCTTTGAAATGTCTTTACAGAAGACCAAGAGCCTGGCCCAGGAAAGAGCCAAACCCCTCTCTTAAGCTACAACAGCTTTGGGTTTGCTGTTCAATGGCTTGCATAGAAACTGTTTACTGTCTCTACAGGGAAGAACAGAGCTGTATCCCTCCCAAATTAAAACAGTGTCACAGGCATAGATGTGGGCATTTTGACAATCAAGAATTAGAGAAACATAAAGCAGCACATTCTGCTGATCTTGAAGATGACATCATGCAGTTTAGGGTATTCAAATTAAATTGGGACATTTTGCAACCTTACAGAAGTACCATAGTAGTTAACATAGTTAACATAGTAGTTAAAAGTACAGACTCGAGATCAGACAGACCTGAGTGTCTGAACTCCAAGTCTATCACCTCCAGCTGCGTGAATATGAGCAGATTACTTGATATTGCTGAGCCTTGACTTTCACATCTGTAAAATGGGGAAAATAACAGTAATGTACCATGTAGAGTTCTTGTGAGAGTATAAAAAATAATGTGCATAAAGCACTCAACATGGCATCTAATGGAATAAAACTGTAGCTTGTTCTTTTTTATTGGAAAAATAAGAGCACTCACAGTTTCTTTTTTATTTGGAACAAGGCCCAGAATCATGTTTTCCAAACTTATTTGAGTACTGGGTTGTTTTCCTTTTTGGAAGGAGGAGGACTGTGGGCACAACTATTGATGTGCAACATTGTTTTTGTGAGTTGCACAAGAGAGGACACAGCCCTCCATGACCTATGGACACAGTCATTTTAACAAGCGAAGCTGCATTTGCAAACTCAGAGCAGCCTTAAAAGGCACTACACAGAAAGAGGCAGCAGGATGAGTGAATATTAAAATACAGACAGGCTCCTTCTTTCCTGTCTCGTTTACTTGGAAAGCAAGTAGATGATGGCAGCTACTGAAAGGTGCTTAGACTGAACTCATATGGAAAGGAGCAAAGGCACTGAGGATCTTAGCAGATAAACGAGCAACAGAGAAGTAAATGATATGGAATAGATGCGTTGGAAAACTCTTGATGGTTCTTTGGTATGTACGACAGATGTTTCTGTCCTTTCATTATTAGAAAACACAAAAATGTAGTGCAAATAAAAAAAAAGAAAAGGTCAAATTGAATGTTACAGTTTGCACTGAGAATTCTAAAACATACATATTTTGGGTAGCCTTTACTCACTCCCATCCTCGAACTTAGAAACAACTTCAGAGCCTGATGGATGTCAAAAGGTGAGATCAGAGAGCAGGTTTGATTAAGCAGCCTGTGACATTGGAGATACAATAAGCCAAGGCTTTTTTTTTTCCTCTTCCAAAATTTCCCTTTTAAGTCTAGCACATTTTTTTCCCCTAAAGAAATGAGAGGAATTAGCATAGTTCCCTTGCTGGGAAAGAAAAAGAGAGAAAAGGAAAACAAAGAGGAAAAAAATATAGGGCTCCTTTTCTCTCATATTAAGCTACAAAACCTAGAGCCCTCTTGAACATTGGACAGGGCAATTAGACATGTGATCTGTGACCTCCTGGCTATACAATCCATCTTTCTAGAACCCTGTTGAACTCCAAACCATGCCATCACACCTTACTGTTTGAAACTTCACTTCCTCACTGCAGGGTGGGAGGTAGGTCACTCCTGGGGGTTGGGAGTACATGACAGAACACATCCACACACTGGGACCATGACGGTGAGCATTCAGTGCACTGGGACATGCCGCAGAGCCACAGGACACCCAGACCAAAGGAAGAATGGCTGAAGCCCTAAAGCCAATTGCCAGGCAAGAGGAAGGTGTTGCTCACACCGCAGCAGCCACAGCCATTCCCCGGCACACGAAGCACACTCAAGCAATAAGACGTACCACTGGTGGTCCCCGTACCACTGCCCGAGCCAGGTCCGGGGGACGAAACCACAGTCCTGTAGGTGGGTGGTGGTGGGGGAGGTGGAGTTGCTCTCTGTCCCAACCCAAAATCTTTAGGAGATGAGATTGTTTCTAAGTAATCATCTTTAATGAAGGTCTGCTCAGCAACTTTCTTCTGGACTTCTTCTAAATTGAGCGGAGATGGTACATTGCGTGTAGGACCAGGAGGTCCCTGGGAATCTGAGGGGCCCGGGGGGCCAGGAGGGCCTGAAGCTGGGGAGTCAGCTGGGTTGTCTGATGCAGCTGTTGGAGATACCACTGTTTCCCTTGGAGTCAACTCTGGAGTAACGTGTTCCGGGGACGTATCAGAAAAATGGACCCATTTTTCTTCAGTGTTAATGGCAACAGACTTGGGGGACAGCACTGGGCCAAAAATGCTGTCCAAATCATTGATGGATGGTAGTTTTTCAATTTTGGCCTCTGTGGCTGACTGGTCATTTCCTGCAGTTAAAGTAGTGATTTTAAACTTCGAATTAACTTTGTTAATCTTATCTGTATGAGGGTCGTAGGAGGGAGGGATGAGGAGAAACCTGGTAAATATATTGTTTTGGGAGGTGCCTCAGTGGGCATATCTTAAATGTAAAAAATATAGGTAGTAGATTAAGACTTGAAAGTGAAGGAAGAACTCCCCACCTTGATAGTGTGAGTGCATTTCATGAGAGAATTTACTCCTTTGCAAGGTGACCACAGTTGGCCACTTTACCAGCAAAGTTCTGAGGAGAATACCACTCTCAAGGCTGCTCACAGGTGAGCAAGGGTGATTGTTTTGAGAAGCTGGTGATAGGTACAGGCTCTGGAAGCAAAATGCCCAAAGGGAGGATGCTTCTGAAAATCTGGCCTATTGAAATACACAAGAGAGCATTCAAAGAATTGATCACTGACAGTCACCCTGGGAATTTGATCAGGATTGTATATTCTAGTACGTTAAAATAGATAAATGTCTGGTGAAACTAGTGATAATATATATTAATTTTTTAAACAAACATCACATTTAGCTTTAGGTCTTCTGTTTTGTTTATATCAGAAATACAATGAAAACACTTAAGAGGTATTTTCACATAAACATGTACAAACACACACACACACACACACACACACACACACACACACATGCACATCCCCACATAAGAACATACACATAGGTTATTGCTACTTTTTGGAACTGTTGCATATATACCCGTTGAACAGAGCAGAAAATCATAAAAACATTGTTAATTTATTTTCTCATCAAGTCTAAACTGTTAACCTCGAAGGCATAACCATGAGAGGAATCTACTTAAAGCTATGCTATAAAAAGTCTCTGTTTTGTTTATAGATTATCATCAGCCTTTTGTTCTGTTTGAAATAGTGTCTTGTTTTATAGCCTAGGCTGGCTTTGGACTTGAGATGTAGGTGAGACTATATTTTTAGTTTATATTAACAATAAGAGGAAAACATCAAAACTAACTTCTATAACTTGGTGTGAAATATTTGATAATAACTACAATATGAAGAAATGTACTTTAAAATTTTTTTTAGATTATTTAAATTAAAAACTATTATTTCAGTAAGTAGAAAGCCTGATCAGAGCCTTTTTACCCTCAAATAATTGTTAGGCTATTAGAACTGGCTTGGTATTTCCATATTTTTAGAGTGTAAGAAATTAACTTTCAAGGTCCCAAGTCTATAAACAAATGTAATAATATTTTGCATGGCTCACTATACAATTTTTGTTGATGGTAGGTTTATTTATATTTAACAATTTATGGAGCCTGGTTTGCACTTACAAACACCTTTACTTATAAGGCTCTGGATGATTCCCTATCAGATTTGAGTCAATATAAATTTCATAAATGCCTGTGTCTTCCTTTCTCCACTGATGATAAATATCTGTTTTGTACTCTAGCTCCCCAGTTGCATAAATAACAAGGGGCTATTGACTTCCAAATGTGACAAAGAACCATGCTGTAGGGCTCAGCAACATAAAATAACCATTATGGCTTTTGACTGTCCAATAAAACTTGGCAGATTATAAATTATTTGAATGCATAGTATTGATTTTAATAGATGGTAAACATGTGTCTTCAAAATTACCTGTCTAAAGGATCTGGTAATTCCTTACCATTTTCATAATTTTTACATATCTCTCTGCCATGAAATTATTGAATTCTTGAGTGAGCACCCGGGGGAAAAATGCCCCACCAATAAACACTGTACTACTCATGTTGAATCCATGATCTGCCTTTATAATGCTAGCAAAACTCTTATTGATTCTAGGAAAAATACAAATTGTGTCTTGAGACCATTCATTTTAAAATTGTTAAACTGAGATTAAACGAAGTGAGTGGTTGACTCAACACTTGCCTTTTTTACCTTATGATTTTTTTTCTCTCATTTTATAAGTAAATGTAGTCCCCATCATACAAAATTACACTGAGGAAAAATGAATTCAGAAGTTAATAATTTTTGAGACCCTTAAAATAAGTCTTCAAATCAATTGCAATGTTATGAAAGTGGGCTATATTGATGTACCCTACAATTTCTAACACTTCAAGAGCATGTTTAGGTCTGGGTACTTTGTTCCATTGGCTATATTGTCTCAGAATGGAAAAAACCCACAGTTTACCTGGTGCAGCTGTTATGGGGGAGCCTGTTCGAGGTGGAGTGGCTGGTACGTTTTTTGGAGGCAGTGGTGGAGGTGCTGCAAAGAAATAGAAAGTCAAGCATTATTGATCATGTTCTTCCCAATTACACAGTGTACTTCAGAGTAGGGTTTTCATTCATACTCCTGCCACTGGAAATGGAATAGCTATTAATGTTTTAAAGTGTTTTGCTTTGTTGTTGTTGTTGTTGTTTTGCCAGTCCTGGGGCTTGAACTCAGGGCTTAGGTAAAGTTTTAAATTATACTTTTATTATCTTTCAATATTTCTACAAAGGAACTGCCATTCAATAAATAAGTTTATAAGTACAATGCATGATGTCATCCCTTTCCTCAGGATTCCCATCCCTCCTAGCCCCTCCCCTCTCTCAATATTCTTAGTTTCATGGGATATATGTTGAATATTATGACTGTATTCTCCCACTTTCCTCTCTTCATTCTCTACCCTCATTTACTGACCCCCCCCCATATCATAAAGATTTTATTTTTGTCGGTTGTGGGCCTGAACTCTGAGCCTGGGCGCTGTCCCTCAGCTTTCAGCTCAAGGCTAGCACTCTACCACTTGAGCCACAGCGCCACTTCCAGGTTTTTCTGCTTATGTGGTGCTGAGGAATCAAATCCAGGGCCTCATGAATGTAAAGCAAGTGCTCTACCACTGAGCCACCTTCCTAGCCCCATACACATTTTTTTAAAGTTCAGACATTCAAATTCAGATTTTTCTGTTGCATGAGAGTAAGAGTTACTTAAAAGAATGTCAGATAATAACAATAGTGTAAACATTTCACTCATTGAAATATTACTCCACAAGCCAGTGTACACAACTGAGATACATCTCCTGTGTGAAAGCTAGAGACAATGGGTTGAATAAAAACAGTCTCTGTCCTTAAAGAATTATGAATGACAATGAACTGGCAATCTCAGTTATAATCCAGGATATCATCATGGAAATTACAATAAATCAGATGGTGGCTTGTGAAAGGGCTTTTTAATCCAGTCTGGATACCATTGTCTATATTGAGTCTAGAAAGGTTTCAAAATTTTGAAAGCTAGAAGCAAAGTAACTTGAATCAAAGGAGGATGAACCAATTCTTTTGGTAAACACAACAGTCAAACAATGTCCTAGAAAAAGTGTAGCATTACAGTCTCGATTACCACTGAGGTTCTTACTTTGTAGACAAATTTAGTGTTTGCTATTTCAACAGGTAATATTTGTTCTTGTTCCTTTAAATATATTTTTTCTTGTGATACTTGATTCATTCAAGGATTCACATTAATCTCAGAAACCATACTAAGGTTTAGTTGTGAACCAAGTGTAATCCATTCTTCCGTATTCTAAAAGCATAGTGAGTTGGGAGGATGTGGAGTTGGAAAGATTTTGCCTGTCTCCTCTACCACCACATTATAGGAATAGTTTCTTTCTGTAATCCCTCCTTTCTTCTGTCCTTAATATATCATTTGCTTTCAAACAGCATCTGTCTTTCTGCACAGTAAACATGATTGACAACTCTGCTCCTAAAGCCTAGGAATATGTGGCTCTTAATCATAGCTATGAGCTACACAGAAGAGCCAATCAAAGGTCGTGCTCTTTATTAATCACAACTATACAAAGTCAATTAAGGACATAATGAGCAAAATATTACACAATAAAAAAATACCATAAAGGAAAAGCCTAAAATAGTGGGTTTGTGCTGTGACCACAAAATGATCATAAAATGCTCCTCAATTGAACAACAATGTCTGCTCTGCCAAACACAAACAAAAATGTACAGGGCTGAAATACCAATAGTAGTATTCAGTACATCATCTCCACAAACATTTCTCTTATGTTCCTACTTGGCATTTAGGAAAAGGTTTCTAAGAACAATTTGGGTAGCTCAGATCTACAAAGAACCTTTTCAAGAATTTTATATATTTTTATTGGTTTGTTTTCTAGTAGCTTGAAGAAATGTCCAAAATCATATGGTTCAATGCTTTCAAATACATCTTTAAATGTTGAGAAGTTCAAAGAGTTGATGAAAAGGCCAGATCACATATAAAACATATTCCCCATAAATTACTTCTTGGTCTTTGACTATGAATCCTCTTCTCTATTTCCTCTGATCGTGTGTTTGTGTGTGTGTGTGTGTGTGTGTGTGTGTGTGTGTGTGTGTGTGTGAGTCCTGAGGCTTGAAATCAGAGCCTGGGAGCTGTCCCTAAGCTTTTTTTGCTCAAGGCTGTCACTCTAGTTGTATCACAGTTCCACTTCCAGCTTTTGGTGGCTAATTTGAGATATGAATCTCGTGGACTTTCCTGCTTAGTCTGTCTTTTAACTGTGATCCTCAGATATCAGCTTTCTGAGCAGCTAGAGTTACAGGTGTGAACCACTGGTGTTCAGCTTCTATGATCACTTTTAAATACCAAAAAACAAAGACCTGGAAATATGGAACTGGAAAAAGTATTAGACTGTTTGTGTGCCTAAAGGAGTAAGATTACTCACTGTGCTTTTTATCTTTCTAAAATATCTTCCTTTAAATCTAGTCTTTCCATGGGTATTCTAAGGAGTGCCTTCTGTATACATGATCACAATGAGCCATCTACTGAAAGAATAAAAAAATCCAACAGATGGTTTGACCAACTGAGCAATACTTTTAAATAGACAAATCTACCTACCACAGCGATGGGTAAAGGATGATAAATATTATCAAGATCTTATTTAGATACTTGTACATGGTGGAAAAGGCGAGACTGGTGGCTGCATTGACTTAATTTTGTCCTGATCTTCTATTTTGTATGGTCTCTTTTGTTGAGCCTGTTGGCCTTGCTTTCTAAGTCATGCTTTCCTTGTGGTTGTCTGTCCTCTGTAGCTTTCGTTGTTCTGGGACAAGCAGACTCCACCTGACTTGTTTACCTCTTTAGTCTGTGACAGCCTAGTACTCACTTGTGAAAATGAATTTCTTTTGCTCACTTGCTAAACTGAGTTAATAAATGAGTGAATGAGCCTGGGGAATGTCAAAAGACATTCCACATTTTGTTATCTTATTTATGCGTCTGCTTGAACAACCTGCCTTGTCCTCCTTAGCTCTGAAGACTGTTAAAACAACATCTCTTCTCTTAATATTGTACAGTTGAAATGTTGCTTATGTACACTTTGTTGGAGCTGACTAATTTCACTATGCAGACAGACAGTAACATGAATCATTTATTTTTCCAGACAGGACAGACACAACTTACTTCCAGAGGGAAAAGGCCTTGTTAACTTTGGCGACTCCAGATTTGGATTAATTGATTGGCCTGAACCCCAGATCTCAGGCTGATCTAGAAGAACTGGAAACAAGAAGAGAATTTCTTAGAGTAAGTTCAAATGAAATTGCCCTAGGCTCGCTCTATCTATCTATCTATCTATCTATCTATCTATTTATCTATATTTAGTTTTTTTTATTAACGACATATAGTACAAATAGTTCAACATGTCAATTTACACTGGCTAAGATGTCCTAGAAATTAGAACTTAAAATTTCAATTTCAATTTGAGCTCACAAAATTCTCTCCCTCACATGGAGGTAATTTTTATTTTGTCTCATATAGGACAATTAATTTAGAAATACATTGCTCCTCATTCTTCTCAAGCATAAAATAGAAACAGCATTTGGAGTGTGAGGGCATGAGTATGTATCTGTGTATGTACACAAACTATTTAAACTTTTCAAAGTAAAATCTGCATTTGGTTTCTAGTTGGTAACTTAAGGCTATTCTGAATATTAGTATACATACAGGTTTCATTTCTGGTGTTCTTGAAAACTTAAGATTTTTTTAATCCTATATACATTTGCTTTGCTATAAGGTAATTTAAATTCTGCTAAACTATGCATTGGAACTGAAAATTTCTGGATTCTATGCAATAGTTCCTGTATTTAAAGGATGTTCTAACAAGTTTTATATAGCATTATAAAGAGAAATAAGTTTTTTGAATGCTTGATACATATTTTAAGAGAACCAGAAAAAGAAATAGGTGCTCAGACATCTGAAGTAAATTTAGGCATTTAGGTATTGAATCTAAGAACACTGAATTTCACATTTATTCCCCTCTTTGATATTTCTTGCAGTGCAGTGGTCAATGAGCACGTAACTAGCCTTCAGAAAGAGCTGTTATATTTCACCACAGAGCCCAGGCTGGGAAGTTGGTCCAATGTAGATTCTGATGTAGCCTCTATATTTACAGAACCTCAGGCAAATCGCTTAACCCCTCTGAGCTTCCCTCCTGCAGTGTAAAGTGGAGATAATAAAAAAAAACCTCAGAAATTACTGAGAAAATTGAAGGAAGTAATAGATGTTCTCCCAATTGATACATGCTGTGCATAAAATGTACCTAAAGCATCTGACACAAGGCCAGTAGCAGTTGCCATGTATTTTAGTTCTCATAGCACCACCATGTGGTTGATATTAACAATACTTTTAGGAGAGGAATCTAAAATTAGAGTGGTTAATGATTAAGTAACTTGTTCATAGAAAAGTAATGGAGCTGAGATCTTACTCAGATATATTGACTCCAAAATATAGATTCCTGTCTTCTAAGGCTTTTTAAACCAGGGATAGGAGAATCAATCAAAAGGAGAATGAGTAGACAGGAAACACTGAAGGGGTAGACTACATGGAAATCAGGGGTTAAACCACACAAAGAACAATCAAGGCAGATGCACTGACAGTCTAGGGGAGCAGTCTGTCCTCTGCATTACAGCCCTCAATGGTGATCTTCACTCTGTTCTGTTGTGCAACAGTATTATTTTTAGGGATTCAATGTGGGATAGCACTTTAACTTTTAAGAAAGGTTTCTACTTTTTAATGTAAAGTTTTAGTCTATAAATGCAATAACTTAAGTAGGCAGGTTCAATTTCAATAAATCAAATCCCACCTTTTGTCACCATATAATCAAGTTATTAAACTCGAGACTAGCCACAAATAAGTTAATAATACAAATGATAGCCTTACAGTGAAATCATATGTACGTAAGGATTCAAAATTACAGATGTTTAAATCACTGAAGGAGTATTAGGAATTTTTGAAAAGTTATTTTACTAACTCATTATTGAAAATATTCAGGCTGAGTTCCGGCTTTTTCCTAGATCCATTCTCTATTTATTCATAGTTAAAGAGTTTTAGCAGGCCACACGGCACCAACTTGCTCCAATGCACTTTAGATGCAAGTGATCTAGAATCTCTTCTGGATTTTGCTCTTAGGACAATTGGTAAATTCCTTTGGGTGCTTCCATCTCCTTTCTTCTGATGAGGAGGCATGAGTGCTAAACAAGCCCCCTGGACTTAGCGATGATGGTAAATATTGAGCATGGTAGAGCTGTCCTGTCCTCCTATTTGTTAAGAAGAACCAAATAAAATCCCATTCTTTTTTTTTTTTTTTTTACTATTTTTTGATGTTTTCCTGCAGTTTAGACAAGTTTTCCAAGTCTCATGTCCTCATTATTTAAGAAAAGTCTCCCAATTGATCCTAGAAAGACAGTTTTATTGTACCTTAGTATTCTTAAGTTAAATCACTTGTTATAAAGACATTCTATATGATCAGACTGAGTTACTGGAGATATAGGCATTGGGCGTAAATACATTGCAGAAACAGATTAGATTCCTTTTTATAAAGACGTTATTTTATGCCAAGTGTTTTTTATTTACAGTTCCAAACATGATTAATTTTAAAAGTTAAACACAAGTCTAGTAATAAATATTTAAAAGTCATGAGTAACAACAATGGCAGCAATGAAGGTATGCCTCTCATAGCGTGGTAGTTTTAAGTTGCTAAGTGAAGTCATTCTGGTTTCCCAAGCCAGCAATCAAATTGAAACCTACACTGAAAAAGTGGAAAAGAAAGTCAATGCAGAGAGGCTAGATCCCTGTGCCAGTGACCATTATGGGTAGAAGATCTAGCTCTATTCATGTTCCTGCTAACAATTCACATGACAGCTGTTTGGCTCACAAAGCATTTACTTCCTGATAAAGATTTGTATAGATTTGTATTATTCTTTTTACTGACCTATTTTGAGGAGTGAACTTGTGAGCTATAAGATATTTCCATAAGTAAACTTTCTAATCCTAAAATAACAGAGGTGTGCAAACTAAACTTCTATTCCTGACAGAACATCTAGATTGGAATTTTTCTTTCCCATAAAGATCTTATGGTAGGTTAAGAATATACCTTGAAATATACCCAGTTTCTCTAGATAGGTTGCACTTCAGTGAAAAGAAGAACAAATCTATAGATGCTTATTGTCTTTCCTACCTTCTGTCTTCTGTCCATCGAAAGCTGATTCTAATGGTGGGCCGAAGAGGGGAGCAAGGGCCACAGTGTCATCAGGAGGCTTTTTGCTAAATCACACACATTAAGGCAAGTTACAAGGAGAAGGCTCAAAATGTAATTCTCAAGAAATATATACATGCTTCCCAATATTGTTCTTGGTTAAACAAGAGTGTATACTTTTGTGTAGGTATTTATGTATGCAGGTGTGTAAAAGGTTTTTGTTAAGCTTAGGAAGCATAATATAAAAATGTGGAACATATTATTGGAGTAATGGTAGGAGATAAGATCTCTAGTTCTAATTGGAAGACCAAGGTACTAGTCTAGCAGAAATAAGGCAAAGGAGAAAAAAAATTTCAAACTATCATCTTCCTCAATACCTACAGGAGATAATATCAGAGATAACAGATCATAGCAAACCTTATTTCTATCCTAAACTTTCAAAACCATTTATATCTATCATTATATCTACCATCTCTCTATAATATATATACATACATACATATATGTCTTATATAATGTATATAATATATTATATATAACTAGCTCACTATCACTTGATCCACACCTCCAGCTCAGCTTTTTGTTGCTTATATTTTTATTTTTTACCAGTTCTGGGGCTTGAACTCAGGGCCTGAACACCATCCCTAATGCTTCTTGTTGCTCAAGGCTAGCATTCTACTACTTGAGCCACAGTGACACTTCTGGCTTTTTTTGTGTATGTGGTGCTGAGGAATTGAACCCAGGGCCTCATGTATGCAAGGCAAGCACTCTACCACTGAGCCACCTTCCCAGGCCATTGTTGATTATTTTGGAGAGGGAGTCTTATGAACTTGGCATCCCTGACTGTCTTCAAACTATGGTCCTTTGGATCTCAGCCTCCTGAGTAGCTATGAGTATAGGTACAAGCCATTGGTACCTAGTTAACATTTATATGCTTTTAACTTATAATTATTTTGCTTTTGAGGCAAGGTCTTTCCTGTGTAGTGTAGGCTAGTCATAAACTCTATATCTTCTTGCTTCTGCCTCCCAAGTGCTGGAATTACAAGTGTGAACCACCATACCCAGTTTAAAACCCTTTACAAAGGGACAAATTGTGGAGGAAGTTTGTGTCTAAAAAAGAAAAACTGTGTTGTCCAGCTTCTAATTTATCCTGCACCTCCCACCCTATGGGCTAGTTATAACCTCCTAAGACCCCAACCTAGTACATCTCAGAGAGCAAATATTGAGGTACTGGAGGTATATGGGGAATTAAATAAAACTTTTATTCTTTCTCCTTCCTAGTTACTAATCTGTATGATTTTAAATAAAAGACTGCACAACTTTCTCCATTTCTTCTCCAGATCCAATTCCTCTCATTTAGCTTAATGAGTGTGCTGAGATGTCAAATGTAAATAGGAGAGGTAAAGGCTAAAGAATATATTCCTGAGGAATATATTGTGAAATACAATGTTCTGCTAAAAGGAAAAAAAAATAGAAGATTCTTTTGATGCATGACAGGTATGTCATGTGATGCATGTCTCATGAAATTATAACTAACTGAATATGCTGCTTTTCATAGAACAATATAACTATGTTTCATCTCAGCATTCCAGAGACCAAGAGATCTTCTTACACAGAATTCTGATCTTCTCATAGTCAGAGGACCACACATTGTGATGGGCAATTACATTGGATAAGTGCAGGCTATTTTCCTGAAGGTCTCCCTTGGGCTATACTTAGGAAAAATGATAACATCTTTAGATTTGCTTTGGACTTATGTACACATAGGTAAGCCCATCATTATCATGAGCCACAATTTTTTTTGGGGGGGCGTTGTGGGGCTTGAACTAAGCCTGTGTTCTGTCCCTAAGTTCTTCAGTTCAAGGCTAGTGCTCTACCACTTTGAACTATAGCTTCACTTCTGGTTTTCTGGTGGTTAATTGGAGATAAGAGTCTTATGGACTATGCTGCGCAGCTGGTTTTGAGATCCTCAGATCTCAGCCTCCTGAGTACATAAGATTACAGGTGTGAGCCACCGGCACCCGGCAATATCACCCAAAAAGTATTGATTAATTATTCATGAATCCTTACACAAAATACAACCAATGTCTTTCATGCTCACCTTATAAGTTCTGGAGTTGGAGTTGAACGCCTGGGTCTTGCCACTTCTTCACCTGATGCACAGGACAAAAGGCCTTTTTAGGTGTGTTTTTACCAGTCCCTTCTGGTGTGTCATATGAACTATGTTTGGAAACACTTAGAGATTTAAGTCTCAGCAATAAACAACTCAATATGAAAATTTCACAATGCAAATCTTCTCTGGCAATGAGATAGCCCTAAATTTGGCATATAAAGTGGCTTCCTCCTCCTCCTCCTCCCAATCCCCCCACCCCGGCATTTGTAAAACTTCATTAACCAAGAAGCTACCATAAACAAGTCATCAAAGAGAAATGCTGTACCCTGCTGAACATGCCAGTTCTCAGATGTCTGCTGCCTTGGCTGGTTTTGCTTCTCAATTATCATTGAAGAATAAGCCAAGGCCATATGCACATAGATTGTGAATCTAACGTCCTCTGCCTTTTATTTTCCTGAAAATGCCAAGGAGATGTTGAATCTGTAACTGGGGACCATGAATTTAGATCTCCCTAGGTTGTGTTGCATGCAGCAGAGGAAATCTAGGGACATTTAATTTCACACCTTACATCTATCATAGCTAGACCCTATCACTTCGGTTGAAATTTTCATATTAAACAACATGAGAATGAGTAACTCACATCTACCTTTACTTCTTTCCTCCCTTCTCTCCCCTCCGTTATCAAGAGATACTATTTGATTAAATTAATTTCGATACTTAAATGATACAGCAAGAGTTGACAGATATAGGAAGAAAATAACAATGCTTTTGCCCAAACTTTAAACATTGATTATTCATAAGTAATCTTATCATAATAACAAGAATCCTTTGCTGTAAAAGTAAAAAAAAAGTAAGCCTCAAAAATCAAGCCCAAGAGTATATAATTCATATGCGTATATGCTCCAAGATCCAAGGAACTATTTCTTGCTTGCAACTGTACTCTATTTCTGATAGCTAAGATATACTTACTGGATAAGTTCCTTTTAATTGCACCCTAGAATTAGAAATAGACACTATAAGGCTTAAGACCACATATATGTTATGTACAATATGTATTATTTCTGTTATTGCAATTAAACTGAACTCAAAGATAGGTGGATGGGGAGAATGAGATTTGACTCAGTGCTGCATTGAAGTTGAAATTGGTAGACCCACAAATATAAACCAACTTTTCCTTTTACTCAGAGGGGACAGAATAAAAGGAAGGGTAACTCATAAGTCAGTCAATGGCAAAACCCCTTACCTGGTGAGCTTTGGTAAATCAATGACTAATATTACCTAGTCTATTAAACATAAGACCTTCCTGGAACATTAGCAGATAAAAAGGTAAACAGAAGTTTAACATGTATTTGATGTTTGAAAATTCTAGAATGTTCTTAGAAGTATTATCTGTTCCTGGTCAGGTGAGGTTCCCAAGTGGCTAGCAGAAATCACCATCAGTTAGCAATGGGATTAAAAAGATCAAAGTGCCAGGTGTTAAAGGAAAGAAAAGCTTGTCACTGTCTGCCGTTGAGTTGACTTTTTTTTTTGTCAGTGGTGGGGTCTGAACTCTGGGCCTGGGTCCTGTCCCTCAGCTCTTCAGCTCAAGGCTAGCGCTCTACCAGTTGACCCACGGCGCCACTTCTGTTTTTTTCTGCTTATGTGTTGCTGAGGAATCGAACCCAGGGCCTCATGCATGCAAGGCAAGCACTCTACCACTGAGCCACCTTCCCAGCCCTGAATGGACATTTTATTCAGAGAGCCAAGCAACCCCTTCCTACCTTCCCTTCAATTTCTTCCACCTGCTGTCTACCAGGCCACCAACCACCAACCAGGAGTCACTTAAGGAATTATAATACTATTGGAATGCAAACAATCCTAGCAGGAATAACATGAACATATCTTTTTCAGATTTATGATGTCTTGCCATGAAATTGTTCAGATAATAGAAGAATTGATTACATTTAATTAAAATTACATTTAGTTAAAATCAGAAGTTGTAAAAGGTTCTTAGTATGAGATGCTCCAGAAAAGAAGACCATTGGGAGGACTGCCTCATGGAGAAGGAAAGGCATGACCTGCCTTAAGAGAACGTGAGGGGCACCACTGAAGGCAGGCATTTTAGTGCAAGGAAGAATTCCAAGGGATAAGACCATGAATGAACTTCTACCAAGCACACACTTTACGTTATCACTATTGTGAGGGCTCAACCTTATGGTTACAGATGCTTTCTGTTCTCAGATTATAAATTTACAATTCGACAAGATTTAGCACTGCTATACTAGAACCATCAGAGGCTTCTTTTCTTTTTTCCTAAGTATATATCAGAAATTTCAATTCTATTTTGAGACTGTTTATGATTTAAAAAAAGCAATTTGAATCAAAATAGATTCAGGCTATGCGTTTTCCTGTATTTAGGTGCTTTCAACTGGCTGGCTTAATTTCTCAGACTCCACTTTCTGGCTTGTTTGCATAAAATTGAATCTATTTCTCCTTAGTATGTGTGTCAGAGAAAGAGTTATCATATTATTAGTAAAATTTTCTGATAAATATGATTACATCTGCTAATGGGCTACTAAATAATAAGGCTCTGATCTATGAACACAGATAAACTGAATTAATAAGGTCTAAGGGAACTGATACAAAGGTTTTATTTCACACTGTCACAGATGAATAAATTGATGTTGAGGAAACATGGTCACCAGTACTATGGGAACTGAAATCCAAATTTAGAAGATGCCAGGGCTGATCTTTTGTTCTTACTTATACTCATTTTTATTAAAAATGTAATACCTTCAGGGTACCTGTGCCTCATGCCTGTAATCCTAGCTACTCAAGAGGCTGAGATCTGAAGATGGTGGTTTGAAGCCAGTCCAGGCAGGAAAGTCTATAAGACTCTTATCTTTAAGTAACCACCCAAAAGTCAGAAGTGAAGCTGTTGCTCAAGTGGTAGAACACTGGCTTTGAGCAAAAAAGCTCAGGAACAGTTCCTAGGCCCGAGGACTGGATCAAAACAAACAACAATAACAAAAGAATATATAATAACCAAATAGTCAAGAAAGGTAAAAAGCTTCTTTTGTATGCATCATTTCTCAGGTATGTCAATTAATTGAGCAGCTATTTATTATTGAAAGGCAATGAAGAAGACCCTGTAACATTTCTAGCAAATCTCCCTCATGAATGAATTAGCACAGTGCAAGCCAGACATAGAAGAAATATGCAAGAAAATTCTGTTGGTCAGAAACTATAAAGAAGAAACAATTTAGAAAGAGTAGATTTCAAACAGCAAAAGAAAAGAAAGTTCTACTGTTAGCTGGAGGCATCATACAGGTCTCTGATGACCCAGATACTGTAGCATAACCAGTCTAAAACACAGTGAAGCAATGTCAGCTGCTCAGACCACATTTAAGAAAGTTACCTCTTGAATTGAAAACCTTCAAAGGGCTCCTATCAGAGTGACTGTTTGGTGCTCTTATGTATATTGTGAGTCATTTTGTTGTGAATCATATTTCTCATCTTGAACTAATAAATCTTTGAGAGTAAACTGTCATAATCTACAATATCACCTAACAGCTTGGTTAGAATCATCCCACCTAAATAACAGTTTCTGAAGACACAATCTTCCAGTCACAGCTGTTTTATTTAAATAGAGAACCACCAAATTGTCACCTGAGGCTGACTATCAGCCTCTAACAGTAGCTGGTTATAAATTGGCACAGGCCTAGGATATTTCAGGGAATAATGTTCTTAGTTTCATAGAATCTCTTTAAGGGACTAAGTAGACAGGCTTATTTCAAACACAGCAATTATTCCTTGCTTTGTTGTTTTAAAATCTTCATCATCTTTAGCCTGAAGAAAAAGACAGATTTCACTAAGAATGCATCAATGGTAGTAAAAACCTCCACTGATGTACCCTACCAAAAGCTGTCTACTGCCTTTAGTAATGAAATTCAGAATTCTGTGACAGACTAGAAGTACTTTCCTTTCCCATTCTCAAGATTGAAATTTTAAGTATGTATCAGTGTATACTGACCAATATGTTATGACCAAGGCTTTAAAACAATATGGCATAAAAACAGATTCTTTCTTTGTTATTCTTCCTTCTCTACTCCTCATTCTATTATTTTGCTATGAACATTTATGGTATTTTCTGGCCCATCTGTAGTCCTTGTACACACACACACACACACACACACACACACACACACTCATCCATATACATTCTTCAGGTCTCTCTATCAATAGTCAGCATTTCCATGTATTCATTTAGTCTGCTATGGAAAAGTGCTCTGACAGTTCTAAAATACTTTCCTGACTCTTAGAGAGCCAGGGGCTTCCAACCAGTAAGTCTAACGCACTCGCCTCATTTAGGCTGAGTTGTCATAAATAATAACAGGGAACCAATCTGGCCACCTTGCCTGGGCAGCAATTTTCTCTACACATTTAAGGTAAAAATGTTGAGAGTTCTTACCGGGCTGCGCCTCTGTGACCAGCAAAAAGGAAGAGAGAACAGACACCTAGTCAGAGAATGATGGATCAGTCAACAGGCTTGAGTGAGAAAAGACTGCAAACCAGCTATCAAACATGCACTCCAAATGGTCAAGCCAGAGGAATATAGACATTATTGCAATCAGGGCTTATTCAAGCCACAAAAATAACTTTGAAGTACCCTGAAGGGAACTGTTGTATAATGAAGTTTTGCTAATGTGAATGCCTGAAAACAGGCAAGATGTGCACAATCTTTATTGATAGCTTTTCATGTCTTGCCACAGGAGTTTTTATCCAGATTACTGTGGGGTAGGAATATTCTTAGGGAATAGATAATATGGGGAAATTTGTTTGCAGGATATTGGTAAGAATGATAGATACATTGCATTTCCCACATAACTAAGACCTAAAGGGAACTTCCTAAATATCAGTGAGAATTAGAGAACCCTCTTCTTTGGATTTTCTTTTTTTTAAAAAGTTAAAAGACGTAGTTATACAGAAGTGTTTTAATTCAACATGTCAGTTTATGAGTACAATGCATCTTGAACAAGGTCGACCCTTACATAATTCTTTTCCATCTTTCCCAACCAACTCCACCATACATTTTCTCGTCACTATTCTTTAGAATTTGTGATTCTGAGATTCAAATCTGTCCGTCACAGGGTGAGTCGGGCAGCCTCTACCAATGGGTAGGCATGATTGGGACAAAGAAGAACAATGTAAGCTGCCTGACCAGATGGTGGCTGAAAAACACAACCAACAGACACTTGATGACTTCCCTTTTTTACTGCTCCAACCTAGATGATGGTTGCTACAAATGTTCCCCAACAAGCTCTGGTTGCTCTCTTTGTTTAGTATCTTTGGCTGTACCAGGAGTGTTAGGGGGTGAGTGTAGAAGGAGATGTCTAGCATTTCCCTTTTAGGAAAAATCCCTCAGAGAATAATAACATCACCAACTGAGGCCAGGAGCTCAAATGAAGAGGAATGGCCATTCTCTCTAGCTCACGACCTGGTGTTCTCTTGTGCCTGAGAGGACTCCATGGAAATCTTGTTCAATGACCTTTATACTCTATAGAGAAAGTGAGGCTATGAAGGGTATAGCTACTGAATTAGTAGAACCAGAGATGAAATTTAGATTTCTGATCTCTCATTCTTCCATTCTTTCTATGATTTTAAGCCTGATATTGATGGTCCTAAAGCAGAGAACCATTGTGGCTAATATCCAAGAATTTATTTCTCAGACCAGTTTTTTTTTAACTAACTAGCACTCGACATACTTTAATGAATTTCTTTGTAATAATTTAGACTTTTTATCTTTTTTGTCAATCATAGGGCTTGAAATTGGGCTCTAGCCCAGTGGTGTTTTGTTTTGTTTTTTGCTCAAGGCTATCACTCTACTAACTTGAGCCACAGATCCATTTGTGGTGTTTAGCTGGTTAACTGGAGATAAAAGTCTCACCAACTTTCCTGCCTGGGCTGGCTTTGAATCACATTTCTCAGATTTTAGACTTTATTGTTTTTTTTGCAGGTGCTATTCCATGTGAGTCTACCTTTCGTATAAACTTTTCTGTGTGCCTGGTTACAAGCTAAATCAAATTAGAAAAATAAAAGGGATATTCTATGACAAATGTTTAAAATACAGTTATCAAGCAACTAAAAGTGACATAATCCTCCCAACAGAAAATCATGAGAAATAATACAAAACAAAATGCAGATTACAAGCATACAGAGGTAGACTCAAATAGAAAATTTTTGTCAACTAAAAATTATACAAAGTACTTTCCAAAGTCATTTCAAATACTTAAATTGAATTATATCTTAGTTCCCAATGAGTTTAAAAACATTTTCAATTGATAGTTCATGATTATATTTTTCCTACTACAACAGCTGTATTTGATAACATTCTGAAAAATTCATTTGCAAATTTTTTTCATCAGGGACTAGCCAATGAAATTCACACAGTTACAATCTGATTAATAAGAATTCAAAGATACAACTAGGAGAGAAGCTGTGAAAAACACAGGCACAGGTTTCATGGTCTATAATTAAGAGCCACCTGAATCCTTTCAAAAGAAACAGTTCCAGAAGCCAAATGGAAAACTGTCTGAGTGTCACCACTGAAGAACACTACTGGACAAAAAGGTCAGTAAAACTATTTATTTATTTACTTATTTGTTTATTTAGTCAGTTGTGGGGCTTGAGCTCAGGGCCTGGGTGCTGTTCCTGAGCCTCTTTGTGCTCAAGGCTAGTGCTCTACCACTTGATCCACAGCACCACTTACAGTTTCTGAGAGGTTTATTTGAGGAAAGACTCTCACCAAGATTTTTCTGCCTGGGTTGACTTCAAACTTCCAGATCTCAGCCTCCTGAGTAGGTAGGATTATAAGTGTGAGCCACCAGTGCCTGGCTTGCTTGCTTATTTATTTATTCATTCATTCATTCATTTATTTATTTTTCAGTAAAATTATTACCAACCAGGAGGCAAGGATCTTTGCCCATTAGAAGTGTTTTATCCTTTCTCCTTTCATTTCCCAAGACTTTGAAAGTATTTAGCATTCTGCTTTTATTTTATCAGAATACAGAATTTTCATCCAAGAAGAAGAAAACTAAATTCAGTATCTGATCTTGATATATTGTAAATGCTAAAAGATCTACATCCATGGGCTTGTGGGTGGGAGAGAAGGTGGTATGTGAATCAGGGCAGATGCCAGCCACTCATCAGTTCTGATCAGTGACTACTATATCTGTGGTGGAGGTCTTAGTCTGCCATGGGTAGGTCTTCAGAGAAAAATCAACATCCAAATGTTCTTTTATAAATTTGGTATGTTCTCGTTGTTGAATTCCTGCTTTATTTTCAATGGCCCAGCCAAATAAAACATGTATTCAGTTGTTCAGAGTCTGCAGGAGGCCAATTTGTCTCTGATTGGGGCGTTTGTGTCATGCATAAGTTCTCATGATATCTGCTGCACTGATTATTCACACTTTGCAATTTGCCTATTTATGTTCTGATCAAATTTTCTACATTTTAAGTAAACATCAATTCAACTTTCTTGGTCATCCAGTGCATTCTGGAGACGATTTAGGAATTCAATTTATTCCTCACCTCTTGGAGAAAACTCTTACCTTGCATTTCAAAGCTATTTTTAAACTAAGTAAATACTGCTAATTTATGATTTGGTCATTAAAATGAAGATCTTTGTTTAGAATATGTTTGTTTGAAAATTTTTACAGTTTTCAGTATGAACATGCCTCCCTAAAAGAAAATACAGTTACCCATGCCCTTATAATTTTTAGTATTCTTAGATTCACACTCTGGATATGCTTTGCTATTTTTTTGTATCATGGTATTATTTTAAATTCAGTTAAAGATTTCTCCAGTTCTTTTTAAATGCTGGAGATGGAAGCCAGGGTTCAGCTTGTTTAATGTGCATTCAACAAGAGCCCTTCCCCAAGCTTTACTCCAATCACCAGAATCACTTAGCCTTAGTCAATATGAGTAAATGTTTTAAGAGATTTGTAAGATATAACCAAACATCATTTGTCTTGCTTGTCAAATTCACTAAATAATCAGCATTTTAGGTTTTGAAGTTTTAAAATAACTTCATTTGCTAAATTCAGTGCTATAAGGAAACAGAAAAGGGAGTGATGGACAAATTATCAAATATTTTTATGTAGTCTAGTCATAGCATTATATCATTCATGGAAAAGAAGTAGAATGTATGAGCATCATGATTATTATTATGGCTGGGTGCTGGTGGTTCATGCCTGTAATCCTAGCTACTCAGGAGGTTGAGATCTGAGGATCACGGTTCAAAGCCAGCCCAGGCAGGAAAGTCCATGAGACTCCTATCTCCAATAAACCACTCAGAAAACCAGAAGTGGCACTGTGGCTCAAGTGGTAGAATGCTAGCTCTGAGCTGAAGAGCTGAGGGACAGTGCCCAGGAACAGAGTTCAAGCCCCATGACCGACAAAAAATAAAATAAAATAAAAATAAATAAACATTACTGCTTTTTATTTTATTTCCTCTTTTATTTGTGGTACTGGAATTTGAACTCATGCTTGCTGGAGTGGTATTCTAACCAATGAGTCACACCTCTAGCCATATTTTCTGCTGGTAATTTTTGCCTTCCCCTCAGGCATGTATGTACCTGGGCAATGTCCACTATGGTAGGCTTTCTAGTAGCTAGGTGAACAAATGTATGACACAGCATTCAGCTTTTTATGGAGCTGAACTTTTCCATCTGGGACGTACTTGAACTTTGATCCCAACAATCTCAGCTTCCTAAGTAGCTGGGATTCAGGCATGAACCAACACTGTCCAGCTTCCTATTTGTTTGTAAATGCTTTAGAGTAAAAATAAACTATCTGGTAAGCGTCCTATTTGCCCACCCACCTTGTCCATAGTTAAATTTGTTCCTGTATATCATAAGTTTAATCACAGAGGCTAACTACTATATCTCATCCAATATGTTCCAATGATCATCTGAAACTCCATGTAGGAAATGAAACAACAAACGTGTTTCTCACCAACATATTCAGAGGTGACCAGACAGCAGAACCAACAAAATGGTCATATCCAAAGAAAAATAAGGCAACAAGATGGGAGAAAGACATTTTTGAAGACAGATAAGTGAAAATGAAAAGGTACACTTGATGCTACGATTACTGTAAGGCCAACAGTAAGAAAATGCAATGAGGAACAGAGGATTTCAAAAGTATCACAGGCGAATTTTGTATAGCTACATTGGTTAATTCAGAGGATGGCCCAGGGTCAAGGAGAATATAAGACATTGGCCACATAAAAGGAAAGGCTACTAAAGAGCACCAGCCCTGTTATACTGCTCCATACCATGTGAAATACAGTTGATGCTCAGTTACAAGAAATTAGCCATGAGCTCAGTAATAATCAGAATAATCATAAATACAGTGTTTCTTTTTTGGAAGCAAAAATACCTGGGCCCCCATTTTGAAAAAAAATTGATACTTAGATCCCATGTTTGGTGCTTTCCACTGCTCTTTCCTGCTTGCATAGAGATTTGGGTCAAGTGCAGCCTCTTCCTCTGGTGCTGGCTGCCAGGACTGGGTCAATGGGCAGGATAAGGGGGTCTGCTGTCTTTGCAGCTTTCCCTTAGGTGAGCTAAGTAGAACAAACTGATCACATTTTGGCATTTGCTAACATGAAAACATGTTGGTATTTTATGGTAGCAGTTACCTCTGTCTGCCCATGCATAGAATCTTCTGGGAACATGCTCCCAATAAACCAGGCAACGGGGAAGAGAATATCATTTATCTTTCCTTCCTCACACCCCCCACCCGGAGATTTGTTATATGCTATTCACAAGTAAAAATATATAGGTATATCACATCAGATTTGTGGGGCCACTAAAAACATCATCCCTTGGTCTGAAAACAAAAACATTCAGGAGGTGATTCATACTCTAAAGATCCCCTTTCTGGTCTCCAACAATTATAGTAAGGAACATTTTGATTTATTATTACATAAACAAAAATAACATAAAAATCCTAAGTCTTCTAGCACACCCCTTTCCTGTTTCAGATTCACAAACATTCAGGATACTACCAGGCTGTCCATGCAACAAAAATTTAACTGAAGAAATGTTCAGCTCATTGTATGTATATGCAGCAAAAATAATTCAACTGGTAACAGCAGTATTTTGCATCTTGAAATGGTTGAGGCTGAGGTGAATCTTTGAGAAATTACCCTGCGGCCCTTAATAACAGGGTTGCAAAATCACTTAGCAACCAACTTCTGTTTTTCCTCATGTGGCATAATTAGACCTTGTCCTGTTTCACAAAGCTTTGTTTTTAAAATCCAAAACCTTGTTTAGGTGTTAAACACAACCAGTCATTATATATGTAGATGATGAAAATGAGAAGAATACATGTTTGGTTAAAGCATGGGAACGACTTGTTTCTTACCGGACTTTTCCTCTAAAAGTGAAAGCATAGGGAGAAAAAAAATAAAGAGAAATTGAGAAAGATGACATGAATCTTCTAGAAGAAATGCTCAAGCCCTAGAAGGACCTCATTTAAGGTAGTTCTGCATGGCATACCTTCTACGAATCCTTCCTGTACATATCTGATACAGTTGTTTCTAAATCTGTTTTGAAGACAGGAACACGTGGCTCACACCAGTAATCCTCGCTACTCAGGAAGCTGAGATCTGAGGACTGTCCTTCAGAGCCAGTCCAAGCAGGAACATCCATGAGACTCTTATCTCCTCTCCAATTAACTACTAAAAAAGCCAAAAGTGGAAATAGCACTAGCCTGGAGCAGTAGAAGTTATGGGAATGTGACTAAGCCCTGAGTTCAAGACTAGGGCCAGAAAACTCCACACACACACACACACACACACACACACACACACACACACACACACACACAGGGCCTGGGGATGGTCTCTGCTGGGACACATTCTAAGCTTTCTTTTGAATGGCTTACATTTATCAAGCAAATTTGTCCCTTGAAAATAGAAGTAAGTTTGTAATATTGGAAGAGGCTGGAAAATGCCATTGGTGCACTGTGGCCAGGGAAGGTCATGAGAGGAGATCATAAGATGTTTTTCTTTTGTCCCCAGAAACTAATCTCATTATGGATTTGCATCTTTTTCCGTCACTCTGAATAGAACCATCAGTTCTTTGGCCATATGTTTTATTTATCCCTACCCTCCATGGACAATTTATATTCTTTCCCTAGTGAGTGGTCTCTGATCCCTTAGGAAACTCTTGTTTCCTGAGCAATGCCTAAGGAAGGACCTTGTCATCTGTCATTGACATTAGTAATACTCCATGAGCCTCCTAGCCTATGATCCTGCTTCCAGTTTCATCTTCTAATTTATCCTTCACACTTCCCAAATCACCATCCAAAAACAGTGAAGGGAATATAGTGCTGTGTCCTTCGAAGCCCCAAGAACAGAAAGCAACAGAATTCCCTACACTTACTGCCCTAATCATAGACCTCAGCTGGCCGTCCCTCCTCATCTTCCCCTACAGTCTCGCATGTAGCTTTCATATAACTGCTCACTGTCCTTGATGCTTCCTGACTATCCCAGATACCTGCAGGCTTCCCCAACTTCCTCACACTGCTTCTGCCTTTCAAGGCTTCTGTCTTTCTCCCTGTCAAAATCTTATTCATTCTTCCAGGCCAGCTACATTTTTCATGAGACCTTTCCCATGATTCCCAGTCAGATTAAATTTATTCCCTTCTCTTGTTTGACTGTAGCACATTCTTTTTTCATTTTGTTCAAAATAACAAATATTTAAGGTCTATTTTATTGGCATTTATTATCCTCAGGGAAAACAAAGGTACACATTGTTAGTAAATTATTTTTTGCCATTATTGCTTTGTTCTGTATTATTTAGATGTCTCCACTTGGTTATTACTCACAGAAATGGTTATAAATGAAGTCTCTCTAGATGCAAGCACAGAGATGGCTATAAAATAAGCATTCATGTTTATGAATTCCTTTTTGGGGGCCATTAAAAACATTACACAAATGTTTGAAGCATGTGTTTTCTTAAATATAGAAAGATGAATTGCTCTCTAAAATAAGGCTGAATTATAAATGGCCTTAGGCCTGTGGCCCCATTTGTAATGGTTCTAGTCCACCAGTGCCTATAAATATTTCACTTGCACCTAATTAATTGTTAATTTCTCTGCCCATTAGTGACCTCAGGTGCTAACATGCATTAGAAAAGCTCCAAGGAAGTGGCAGGGCTTTACAGAGACATTAGCGTAGAATAATGTGACCAGATCTCCCAGGTGAAATTTCTTATAGAGCAGATATGAATGCTTTAGAATGAGAATCTGAAGAGAGACGCATACCTGCGTTACTAGCACAGATAAATGGAAATTACTTTCACTGCTTTTCTCAATCTACAGACAAAACCAATTTTGGGTTAAAATAAATGTTAGAAGGAGCAAGAGCTATAATATACTTAAATTACCTCCATCTCTTAGTTTCTAGATGTCTTTGGGCAAGTCACCATGGGCTCCAACTTTGTAATCTTTAAAGCAGAGATAATTGCTACCTTCTATGATTGTTGTGAAGATTAACAACAACAATACCATCTCCTTCTAAATTACATTTATTGCATTCTCTTTCGCTGTCTCTCTAATTATTCACAAAAAAGCTGGAAGTGGAGCTGTGGCTCAAGTAGTAGAGCGCCTTGGGCAAAGGAAGCTCAGGGCTAGCACCAGTATCAACACACACAAAATGTGGGTGCTATGCCAGAAAAATCTGACTTTTGTGCCCCATGCAGGGAAACCAAGTATCATGTAGAGGATTTAACCTACATTAACTGGGCAAATGATGGCTGACGTACTCCAGCTCAAACTGAATATTTTATTCATATTTTTGAGGGGATCACAATATATTAAAAACTTGGGGATTTCTTCTTACTAAAGTACAGAAGGCATGAAGATTTGGAAACTTGATATAGTGATTTTAAAGGTCAGGACTCAAAGCAGCAGGAAATTCTCCAGGAAAACAAATTTAGTAATAAAGGAAAGAACTTTTTAAATACATTTTAAACACAAAACTCATTCTGCACATGGTTTATTTAAATGTAGAAAAGAATGGATTATTGAAAAAAGGAAGTTGCCACCAATTTTTCTGCCTTTCTCTATAAAGCCTAAAAGAAGTTTTGTTGTAGCTGCTAATTCTGAGTGAATTTGATAAAAGAGTTGCTTACAGTTTTGCTTAAGTTCTCAATGCACAACTGGTATCTACTGGCCATATCTGCAGAGGGTCTGGAGGAGGGGAGAGGATACTCATACACTGAATGTTTGAGATCCCTGATCCTAAATTACATTTGGGCCTATGGAGCTTCCTGGGTAAGCAGAATGCCAGCTGAGTCTCTGAGTCCAGGAAGCTGGACAGGAGATCTGGGCTGTGCACTTAGCACCAGGCTCCATGTGGTACGGAGCCTCTGCCTACCCCACTCTGTTAGAATGCTAGTGTGTAGGAGAAGGGAGTGTGCCTCCTCCATTGATGACTTTGTTTTTAGTGAACTCATCAGGGTGCTGAACCTTCTGCCAAAGTGAGGACAGGATAGGGGGTGTTGTTATCAAGCAGCAGCAGCAAATTCCTGGATGATGCTCTCTGGCAGGCTAATTTGATGGTGGGAGGGCAGGTGGGCTACTTGGAATAGGCCAACAGCACCAGACTATCTCTAGTTCAAAGCTCTCTTCCCCTCCTCTCCATTATGGATTATAACTCATCAGGAACAAGATTAAACTTAGTTGTTCCCTAAAAACCCACTGTCAGATACTTTCATTCCTTCTCCCAGGGGGCGGGGAAGAGGCAATAGTTTATATGCCTGAGAGGATGCCTCCTACTCCCTCATCTTTTCTATGAGTCCTTGTCTTGACTTTGCTCAAGTCCTCCCTCGCTAGTTTTATTTCCCTTCTGCTTCCCACAAGTCTTTCAACTGCAGGAAAAGGAAAGTGCAGCTGAATGGGAATGGAATGCTCATGCCCAGAATCTGGGATGGTGCATGGAGCTGAGTACATTACATCCCCCCTTGCCATTCTAACATTATTACTACTGATTCCATTTTACAGATGGGATGGAGGCTTGACGTTAAGACCTTGCTTGATACACACAGAGAAGATGATACAGAATCAAGCTGGAGGCATGGTTCAGTGGAAGAACACCTGCCTAGCAAGCACAACACCCAGGGCTATACCTCAGAATTGCTACTGCTGGCCCAACACCAAAAAATCCTCAAAAGCCTCAAAATCCTACTTGCCTTTGTGCTTCAAAAGAAATCCACCTCCACCACTAATTTGGTAAGTTCTTAAAGTGGTCCATATCCTTAGAGGAGGATTTAGAGTAGCCACTATAAGAACTGCATTATGTTTTGATTAATAACAGCTATTTATTCATTAAGGACATCTCTGGGGGTCTTATTACATAAATTTGCTTACAAAATGCTAAGCACTTTATATATTGTGTGTCCTTAATCCTTCCAAGGCTTGTATAAAGTATATAATACTAGTAATCTCTGTGACCTTGATAAAGCTATGAATGAGGCTTAAATAAATAATTAAGTGCCTTTGTCCAAGGTTACATGTCTTGCATCAGAACTTAATGGTAACTTATTCCAGAAAAAATTCTTAATCAGTGCAGAACTAAACATATAAGTAAAATATGGTGGTTTTTGGCTCACTGAAGAACAAATAGGAGCTTAGCCACTCAGAAAGCTGAGATCTGAGCCAGCGGGTTGAAGCCAGCAGGACAGGAAGTTCATGAGACCTCACACACACACACACACACACACACACACACACCCAGAAGACAAGCTCAAGTGGTAGTGGGCTAGCCTTGAGCACAATAGCTCAGAGAGAGCTCCTAGGCCCCAAATTCAAGCCCCAGGCACAGTACCAAGAAATCAGAAAGAACTTCATGAACTTTCCTGTCCAGGTTGACTTTGAACCACAATACTCAGATCTCAGCCTCTCAGCCTCTTGAGTAGCTAAGATTACAGGCATGAACTACTGGCCCCTGGCTAAGGAGAGCTCTTTTAACATGCCAACATCACCAATTAGGAAGTACAGCCCACTGTTCAAGTAATTGTGACATCATTGCTATGACTGTCTATTTTCATGTCTCTGAAATCACAGCAATGGCAATTACATTCAGTTCATTTAATTCAGTTGCATATTGAATTCAGACTGCTGTTTTCCTTTCCCATTCTTTTGCACATTTCCTTAGAGTTCTATCTCTTATTATTTAGTTTCTTTCAAAAAGCAATTCTTTAAAACAAAGCTTTTTCTTAGATGTTGCCATTTTTCCAGTACTAGGGCTTGAGCTTAGAGCCTCACACTCTCATCTACCTTTTTTGCTCAAAGCTGGCAATCTACAATTTAAAACATTCCTCCACTCCACTCAGTTCCTTCCCTCCTTCCTTCTTTCTTTCTTTTTTCCTTTTTCCTCTCTTTCTTTCTTCTTTCGTACTGAGGGTTTAACCTAAGGCCTCACAATTGCTGATCAAGCATTTTACCAGTTGACTTAAGCCCCCAGTCTCCCTACCCTCCCATGTTTGAGCTAGAAATCTCTACTGTTTTTGTTTTTCTGTTTTTGTCCAGACTGGCTTCAAACTCATATCTTTCTGCCTCTACCTCTCAAGTAGCTGAGATTAGAGGTATGTACCATACCTCTGGTTCAGCACTGCATACAATAAGGCTTTTATCACTAATATGAATAAAATAGAACTATGTGGCTGGGATGAGAGCATAGTTATGTGAATCATCATGCGATGAACCAAAGAGGCTAAAGTGCAGGTGGATGCAAAACTAGAGAGTGGTGAATGTCATGGTGCACTGTTCTTGGCCCACTTCCACTCACATGTTTGCTCAAGCACTCATTCACCCACAAACAGTTATTGAATGGCAGTCATACACAAGACTCTATGAGAGGCACAGATGTTTGGGAGCGGACACTAAAATATGTTATGTGTATTCTTCCACATAAGGTTTCTTGAACCAGCCACCAGGAGCCTCATTGTCAGATATCTACCTTTCAACCGGAACACTTCAAAGTCTGCCTTAACTATAGAAAGTTACCTTGTTCCAAGTCATGTCCCTTCCTGACTGATAGCCCATCCTACAGATGTTAAGCTCAACTGGAATTTTGAGTCAGTCTGCTGCATTGAAAACCAATTGGAAAAGAAGTTCTTGATCATTTGTTCATCTTTGAAAATTCACAAACACAACCAAGGACAAAAAAATTATACTTTTGATTAATAGAAGGCAGACTTTTACTTCTACAATGAAATAGTATGCTTGAAAAATCAGTAGACTCTGTAAGATTATTGTTGGAAAAGTATATACCAACTAAACAAGATGGTATTTTACTGAAATTTGTTTTTATTCATCCTACTGTTTACTAACATGTAGGGTAACTACACTATTATTAAATATTTAGTGAATATAAGTTTTGAAAAGGAAATATCTGTATTCAATTGGTTTGGGATATCATTTTGAAGATAAATAAGTGGAGTCCCACTTTCTAGTGAACTCCCCCAAATAACAGATTATTTAACATACAGCAGCAGAAAATGCCAAATCCTCTGGTAGCCATTTGTTTCCTTTTCATCTAGTAGCAGAATTGTAATATTTGCTCTGTACATGACTATTCAGTACATGACTACATTTCCATGACTCCCTTGCAGCTAATGTATTCCTTGAGTATGGTAGGGCTAGCTTCTAAGTTAAACCTATCAAGGAAAAAATCTACTTTTTATTGTCTTTTCCCTTTATCTCAAGGGCTCACCATGGCGGTATTTACTTGTGGTAAGGCAGCAGCTTCCAGAGAAAGATGGAGCAATAATGCAGAAAGTTCTAAAGTTTTGAGTGACCTCTGCATTAGGACTCTATCACCCTCTAGACTAGCCCTGACTTTGAAGTCTGTGCAAGAGATAAACACAGGCCATTATCACTTTGGTCTCTGTTAAAGCAGTCCAATGTTTTACCTTTTACAAATGTGAAGTCAATAGCCAGACCCGGGTGATTTTCATTGCTTGCCTGTGAATGTGGAAGCGCCCACCCCACTCAGGGCTACTGTTCGTGGTGTATCCTCAGCAGCATGCTGGGTTGGAGGAATATCCAGATAATGACCTAGACATCCATGTTCTTTTTGAGATAGAGGATTTTTAGATTCAACATGCTTCCAAAAAAAGAATCTACCGTTTCGGAGGCTGACCTGCTTGGTTGGCTTTTAGGCACATTTGATCACTTAATCCTGTGAACTTTCCTTCACAGGTAGCTTACTAATGTACACTAAATTTATTATACTCTCAAGAAAAGTGGATATAAACTGGCTTCTGGTATATTAATAGATTTTTTACAGGTAATAAATATTCAGTTAGTGATAAGTGATTTGAAAGATGGCATCTTAAAAGTAAAATGTGCATATTTAAAATGTCCACATTTACTAGAAATCACAGTTGATATATAAGTTTAAAAGTGTCTAACTCCCCCATTGTAGAAGGGGAAGACAATCATATTTCATGCTTCCCTTTTTGGGAATATATGTTAAGATACCAGATGTGTGGAAGATAAAAATTTACCTGCAATGTTATTTGCTATAGTAGGTTGCACTTAGTAGTTGTTGTAATTGTCACCAAACAGAGATGATAAATACCATTATGAACACTAAAATCTAAAGAAGGCATGATTAATATACTTTTAAAAAATTCTCAGGAAAACAAGACTTTATTCTCAGTGGATGAACAATTACAATTCTTTTAGAAAGGTTAACTGAGATATTTCTAGAAGTAACTTGAAAGTTGTTTAGTTTTCAAGGGATGAAGATGTAAGGAGATCACACCTACTTAAAGAAAATGCCAAGAAGGTATTAGCTATTAGTACGATAACTTTCATCTGCTCTCCACAGCCATTTTGAGAAATCAATGGTGGTGTTCATCAAACAGCACAAAGAAATTACTATAAATGTTGGATTATCTCTATAAACCTTGGGACTCAGCAACTAAAGAAATTTTGTAGATGGCAACACACAGAAGAAAGCTTAGTGTAGGCAAAAGCAACTTGGGTAATAAATATAGTGCAACTCTTGTATTTGAGATGCTTAAGAGAAAGATGAAAGTACTGAAGGCTACTTAATAATAAAATATAACAAAGAGTTTGAAAATTAAAATTCTCTTACAATACAATGTTTATTAATATTTTCTATTGGAGCATAGCAAGGGAAAGGGTTTTTGTTTGCTTGTTTGAGACAGGGTCTCACTATGTATCCCAAGTTGGCCTTGAACTCTGATCTTCCTACCTCAGTCTTCCCAGTGCTGGGATTACAGGTGTAGGTCAATATACCTGGCTAAAAGTTTGCCTTTAAAGCCATTTTCTAGTTTCCATTTTATGTGTTTTACTAGGAAAAGGGAAACTAAAACATGTTTAAAAATATCAGTTAGTAAGTCAGGGAACTACATGTTGTTCTTAATTGTTAAATTTGATTTAGAAGACTTTGGTTAATCTTGTTATTTTATTTCTTTTTATAGTCTTCTCAGCAGAAAATAAAATGTGATCCTCTGCATTTGTGCCATTTTGAAAAGCACAAGAACTGTAGTAGGAAATGAGTAAAACCATCTTAAGCTGGAGCGAGCTGCTCAAAGCTTATGAATTCATAAGATGGTGACCATATGCAGCATTCAGTGTATGGATTTTCTGATCAGCTTAATGCACTGAGGCAGAATAACTCTGTCCAGTCTCACTAAAAGCTTACCATGGAAACTCCACTCACCACTGGTGATGGGGAAAGTGCAATGTTTCCTATTGATGCCTTCAACTCATCTACCGTTGCAGCATTCTTAAGAACATCCTTAGATTGCAATGGTTTAATCTTGATGTTGAATTTCTTGTGTGATTCTTCTTCCTCTTCTGATTCACTCGAAGAATAAAAGTGCTTTCCTTTGGTTGGTAGAACACAGTTAAGGATGCTTAGCTCTTTTTTCCACTTTGTGTAACATAAGGATGATTGCATAGATCCACAGAAAAAGTACCTTTGCATGGCAGAAAACCAAAGCAGCTTTAACCCAACCAAACAAACAAATACAAGAGGAAGGTTAGGATCTATCTTCCTTGCCTTAGCACCTGATCAAGGATAATGAATTCCAATGAGCAGTGCTGTCATTGGCCATTTGTAGGCCACTAAGCACAAACAGACAAGCACACTCATCCTCAACATCAGGTAGAGGAAGGCTAATTTAGGGGACCCCTTAACGAAGTTTAAGTGCTTCAGTGAGTGACATACTTTGCCTAGAGATGAACTGGAAGGAAAGGACACTGAGAGCTATTTTCCTGTCACTGACTAACATTGCCACATCAGGTTTCAGCAAACCACTCAGCACCCACAATGTGCACAATTGTTTTTCAGCACATTTTTTTCTTCTCTTCTCTCTCCCTCTCTTTTCTATGAATAGATCAAGACAAAATGCTTGCTTGTTAGCGATCAGGCTGTTCTCTGTGCTATTTTTTCATTTCTAATATTAGCAATAGTATATTTGGTTACCTTTGGAAAACCTGAGTTTACATTACTGTTTTCTGAGAGACAGTAAAAATTTAAAAAAAGAAATAAGAAAGGATATAGCCGGGTTCCTCGGGTCTGATGCTGTAGCCTTCTTCATCCAGCTCAGGTGAGTTCTATAAAATACAAGAACACGTTAAGCAGTCATTAGTCTGAAAAGATGGAGGGACTATTTTTCCCCCTAGAGTTGTGTACTTAGAGATATACTTTATTTCTAATCTTCCTATTAAGAAAATAAATGAAAAAGCAACTGTCAGTGAAAAAAGCATTCATGCATTGCCAGTATTTCCTACAAACCAAGGACTGTGCTAAGCAACCTGGGAGGAACTATGTTTCTTTGAGGAAATTGCCTATCAAAAACATTAAAAAGAAAAAGCAACACAGAGGTGTTAGGTAAGAGCAGGAAGGAAGAGGAAATGAGTTCATTCTGAAAGAATCAGGTGAGTTGAATGAACCTTTCAGTGCTGATAGGAGAGTGGGGGGTGGAAGGCTAGACAACACAGCCACAAGTGGCCCATGGACTACTGCAGAATGAGTTTACTACCGCTTCTCAGGATGGGACACACTGTAAAATCTCAAGATGCTCTAGAAGATATTTCCAGATAGATAAGGGGCAAGATTGTTATAAATATGGTTTAAGTTATGTTGGTGAGATAGGATGATTCAAAGACACTTGAAGGGATTGGTTCTTAGTTCTTGGGGATAGATCAATCAAGGGAATAAAAAGAGATAGAAGTTTCAAGAATAATCCAAGGTTTCTATCCTACAGTCCTGGGAAAATGGCTGCTGGTACTGCTGGCTGAACTAATACTAATAGCAGACAGGAAACTTTTTAGGAAAAAGGAAAGATAAAAGGCAGTTTGCATCATTGAGATTAATCATTGGCATTCGAGTAATTATTTTATGGTACTAGATGACTCATTATGTCATTGGATGACATAATGATCCTATGAGCAAAGAATTATCCCAATATCCAACTAAGTGAGTTCTGATGCTGTTTTTAAAGAACACGCCCAGCAAATGTCACAGCTAGGCCTTGACTCCAGGTACTTTGGGCCTTACATCCTGAGTCCAAGAGGGGAGAAAGATGAAGGGTGTCCCCGTGGAAGCTGAAGTTACAGGCCTGACAGTGAGAGATCTTTGAGGTAAAAGAGATGGACATATTCTGTATGGTTAGAACTCTAAAAGTGATCCTGATTGGATCCAACAGGTCCTTCTACTGTGGCTGGAGAAGTGTTGCTGCTAATTGCTTTTGGGAAAAGCTCTGGGTAAAGTGTAGGTCTCAGCTAGGTTGCATCCCTTGAGAAGCAACAAGTGACTGTCATTTATCCCAGGAGATATTTATACCATGAGGCTATAGTAGTTGTTATGAAACTAAAGTTCTGGGGTTAATTGACTTGCATTGAATGACCAGACTGAACATTAGAAGAAAGCTTTATTTTTTAACAGATACTATAGGCTAGGTAGTTACTGAAATGTTCTGCAATTAGCTCACTGAGTCCTTGAAACAATGATATGAAGTAAATGCTACACTGATTTCAGTTTTGCTTCTCAGCAAGTAACTGTTCTTGGCCTCACAGCTGATGTTGCAGGGGCCAGGTCCTGACCTAGGTCTGTCAGATTCTATTGCTTTTTACCCTCCTAAATGAGCTAGGCATTTCCTATTGGGATAGAGCTATTTTTATGTCCTATTATGAAGATGAATCCTTCAACTAATTTTTAAGATGTAAAATGCAGAATAAAGGAAACATTCTCATACTCACATATCTTTCCCAATCAATTTCTGCATAAAATCCATTTGGTGCCCCATTGCTTTTCTTCTGTAATAAATTTGAAAATAAACTTAGAAGAGAAACATAAAAATGAAAAGAAAAGCCCAGTGGGATAATAAAACCATTTAATTGTTATCCATATTTAGTAAGCGCTATCACCACCCAGTATTAGAAAGACATTAGAAGGATATTAACAACTAGGAATTCAACTTTTATTCAACTAGGGAAGAATTAATTAGCAACACCTACATTATAATGTACTCTATGTCTCAGGAATAAAGCCATATATATACATGTATATATATATATATATGTATACAGAAATATTTGACTTCCTTATACAATTAGTTCCAACAGATTTAAAGGGTATTCACTCTTAACTAATCTATTAATGTTCACACTGATTCATTTTTTTTCTAACTGTCTTTTGATAAAGTAGAAAGGAAGTCAGCTCCAGATTAGTTTTTTCTGCTCCTAGTCATTAAAAATAATGTCAACATTCTAATTTTTTCTTACTTACTTAATTTAAAATAGAATTTGAGAATTTATGATGGATTTTCCTTAACCATGTGTCTACACCTATATGGGCACACATCAATGCTCATACTGGAATCTAGCATTACTTGCTGATTGGTTATCTTAATCATTTTATTTTAGTCCCTAGTACATTCATGGTAATAGCTGAGCAAGGATGTGACACCACCAGACTAGAAATTGTTAAGATTTTCTATTTTTTTTGTTAGTAAAAGATGAGAACACAAATTGGGTTGGTGATGGAGGGTCCATCCAATGGCATTCTTGGACTTAGCACACAGAGCATGGTATGTCACTGAGCCATAGCAGACCTCAGCATAACACACATCATATGGTGATGCATTACAATTGAGAACAGGGCCCCTAAATTTGCAATCATAAATAAAAGTCACTTGAACTACAATGCAGAAGGCTAACAGGCAATTGACAAATAGGTGGAGAGTTAGTTTTTGAGGTATGAACAGAGATCACTAGAAAATCCAGGATGATTTACTCATCATCAATAAACATTTACTGAAGGTTGACTGGGCATTCTAAGAACTGGTGGTAGTTTAGCAGGGTGAAGAGTGCATAAGAAATAGATAATGTGTTGAGGCCCTATCTCTTACGCAGTAGCAGGCTGTACCCAGGAACACAGGGCCTGTGTCTATCTGCCTGTTTGTTCTGGTCTTGACAAGGATTATTTGTAATCAGATAACATCCAGTCTTCACGTAGGATTGTCTTCATTGAATTAGAGCCACAGTGGTATTCTTTTTTAGCTTGCAGAAAGGTCTTAAAAATCTGTCACATCAACTCTACCTATGACACTCACATTTAAGAATACTATTTCTGTTTAATAGTGTTAATTATAAAAATTCTTCTGGAAATTCCTATTTTCTTTTTGCGATATGTGGTCCTTATTTTCCTTTATTATATTATTTCATTGGAAAACTCTCCAAATTCTTCCTAGAAAACATACGTGATAATCAAGTGCAATGTAAAATCTGGTTTCTAATAGAGAATCAAATGAATTAAATAGCTTCCTAAGAAATAAATTCATATATTTTTGACTAGCATAATATTGCTACTGATATGTCTCTTAGTTTTAAAGTAATTCCTTAATACAAATGACTGCTAACTAAAATAAAATAGATTAGGTCAATTATTGAATTCAAAAATTTTAAAGTTTGGTGGTTTGCTTCCATGATGAGATCATTGCCATTATTAATGCCCTTCAAAACCAAGACAATCTATACATTCAGCTGATAAAATTATGTATGTATGTATACATGTGTGTGTATGCATGCATGTATGTTTGTATATATATTTGGCCAACACATATCCAAAATAGATATAAAGAGATTCCTGAAATCTAGATTTAGGCTAACTGAAATCTTCCCTGTTTCCACGGAAACCAATGCAACATTGATATAAAGGAAAAGCACAAATTTATAAAAAAAAAATTTATCTTAGAACAGAAACATCTAGAAAACATATACCAAACCCAAATAACACATACTAATACATTGCTTTGGGCAGATATTCAACACACACACAAATATATATACTTGGCTTTATTAGAGGAATTGGCAATATGGTCTCATTCATGCCATTGTACTCTCACAAATATCTTTGGTTTTATAAGTGAAAATTACTAAGTCAAAGAAAGGCCAGTTGGTAGCTATTATTGTTCTGGTTAAACTCCAAGATAAAAGCTCATGCTGTTTCCACACTGGTCAAGGTGTAGCTCCTAGTAATGGTGGTAGAGAGATAAACTGACTGTGCTGATTTTCAAATGGAGAACTTTAAAGAAGCATCACAAAAGAACGTGTTAAGTGGATAAGCATCACTTTCCTAGGCCTGATTGTACAAACAGTATCATTTATATATTTGTTTACTTCTTTTCTTCCTATATTTTCTAAACTTTACCTAGTGTAAGTAATTTGAATATATTGCTGTTATTTAAAGATAATTGAGGATCAAGAGTATGTTAATCTTGTTCTAGTAGATATTTTACTTAGGTTAGGCTTATCATCTACTCAGTAAATATGAGAGGCTAAATCAATAAATATAGGAACAATAGTGTTCAGTTACACTTTGATCAAACTTCTCAGTTTCCATTATCAGTGTTCCTTTTAGGGAGGTCAGCTCATGGCTACATGGTGATCGTTGGGTGAGAAGTGTTAAATATACCCAATGTCCTGCCTGAATATTCTCTTTTCCTACCAAGGCTGACTTGAATCACTTTGAAACAATGTTATAGGGCAGCACTGTCCAATAAACTGACTATGAAGATGGCAATGTTTGATCTACGTGCTGGCCAATAAGGAATTCACTGCACATGATCTGAATACTTAAAATGTGGCAAGAGTGACAGAGGTGCTGACTTTTAATTATATAGCTACAGGTGACTACCATTGGACAACACAGTAACAGGCATCACAAGTATAGTCTAGGATTGGCATGCCTTGACTCTACATCCTTTGGTCCCCACAGGGAAAGGTCCTGCCCAACTATTTAGCTCCTGCTTATTTTATCTTTACAAATGATAGTGCTCAGTTAGCATGGTGATGTTTACAGATGGCCAAGGCCTTCTCGATAGATAGCAGATTCTTTGAAAAAGTTGAATCTAAGACAAAAGAAACCCAATTCTTTTATGCCTGATCATTCTTTAAGAGAATTTTTGAATGGCAACATACAAAGTTGATACGGTTGATTTGAAATTGGTCCCAGAAAGCCAGAGATAATATGGAGAAGCCTAAAGAGGAGTCTCCTCAAGTGTATTAAATAAAAGCTACTCTGTTCTCCAAATTTCAGTCTTTGTTTTTGCTCACTGTTTCTACAACCCCTTGGAAAATTTTAAACTAAAATCTGTTTCCTTACCGAAACTTTTTTTCCTCCTTCACGCGCACACTCTGCTTTGTAATTGTAGGGTGGTTCATGTGGGCTGGGCTGCTGGAATTGATTGTTTTCATGTAGAAAAAAGTTGTTAAAGGATCTGCTTGTTTTTCAAGACACATATAAAGAATCACATGGAGTCAGCAAACATACCATAGAAGAAGCAATTTCTAGGCCAAATTGTACAGCCTACCAATCTTGGCAGGGTTGCTTAGGCAGAGTTGACTTTGGGGCCCATAATGAGGCTCTATTCAGCAGACCAGTTTGGCTAGGCCAGGAAAAGAAAGGAGAAGGGAAATGTGCCCCGAGGCATTTGGGGCTTTGTGGATCTATTTCTCTTTCAGACAGCACTTAGTTTACAAATAGAGAACAGACACCAAGACACACATAAGCGACTGAGTAAAAGCAGTTGTTATTTCTAGGTATGAAAAGTTTATTTACTTCTCTGTTTCTGCCATCGAAGACTTCCTAAGGATTATCAATACATACAGGACACAATGCTGACAGTTCCAAACCCTGTGCACTTTCCTGCTTCAGGGAAAAAAAAGAAAAAGAAAAAAGATTTCCTTCAGCAGGGGCTATGACCCAGATAGACCAGTGTATTTGTGGAGGCAAATTGGAACTACTCGGGAAAACGTTAAAATGTACTCTGAACAAATTAGAGCTTGTCTCTGAGTCAGAATGCATAGTCACATACAGATGCCTGAGGTCTCAACACTGTGACAAGAAGCTGTGGATACACACTCACAGTGATGGGTATGCTCAGCTGGTAGGCAGCAAGGCAAAGCCCAACTTCATACATGCAGCCCTGACCCATCTATGGAGATAGATGAAAAGCACTGACACTAGTGATGGGCTCCATCACATTCAGAGAAGTGAAGTTATGCATGCAGAACTTGTGTTTACCAACTAGGTTGGTGCAATGCCACCTGTATTTTATTCAACCACCTTAGTGAAACTATCAACGTCAACTTCTGTCAGTCCAAAGCAACCACATGGAAACTCTCTTAGCCATATAAATGTAGATGAGAGTCCACAGAAGTGAGGTCTTAAAGAAATCAGTTTCAGTTGAAAATCAGGTTGAGATTTCTGAGGATTAAAGACAAACAGAAATTTAAATCCAGCCAGACAGTCTTGGATTTCAAATGTTGTTGATCAGGTGTTGGGAGAAGAGTTGAACATTTTCTTGAAATGGTAAAAATAGTAGCTGGCCAATAATTTCCAATTATTAGTGACTATGTATATATTTTGAAAAAAAGTGTTTATTTGAAATATGTCTTTCATATTTTGAGAAAATGCATTTATTTATTCTGAACGTAATATTTTTCAGTACAGGCCTATTACTCCAAGAGAAACTGAAATTAAACAATTCCTCTTTCTTAATAATTATGATCATGGTTATTTATGATACTTTACATTAGGTAACAGAGAGGGTGTGACTGTCAATAACTAACTTTGTAGGCTTTGGGATGGTGAGGGGAAGGAGGGCTCAGAGAATGGGCATGAAGTCCGATGTAGGGAACTAAGTCCTCATACTGCCTATTGCCTCCCTTAATGCAGCACCTGTTCAAGGTCATAAGCTCTGCACCAGCAGCTGTATCAGGTGCTGAGGTGCATATTCTACTAGCTGTAACCTGGTTCCCTCCCCCACCTCCCAGAAGAGCACAGTATTACAGTCAGGTAGCAATGGTGTCTTCGAGATAATGAGCATGGCAGCAAGTGTTGGAGAAAGAAAAGTGACAAGACTGGAGAGTGCTACAGTGTGAGAAGCAAGAAATAGCAATTGGTCCAGGAGCAGCAGGATAGAAAGCAGAGTGGCTAACAGAGCAATCTTGCAAAGGTGAAAGCAAATAGAACAAGAGGGCTCACGCAGGAGACCAAGCCAGAAGCAAAGAGAGGACACAGAAGAGGAGAGTACCTGAGACAAAGTTAACGAGAGGGCTCTGAGCCAGAAGCAAGAGGTGAGGAGAAGCTGAGTCTTCTGGGTCTTTTTTTTCCCCTGCTGAATAGAGCCTTGATTATAGTGTTACCCAAATGTCTGATCAATTTCAGTCTATTTTCTTAACATTTCATAGCAAGAACCACATGAATGCAAAAGGCACCCCAAAACTAAGGACTTTGAATCAAGTGCAGGAGAAAAAATTCCTACTGTTGTTGCAATTAGCACCCGAATTTAGTATAGCATCATAAAGGTTGATTTTTCAAAAAAAATATTTTTAACCACCGGATTTATTTTAGTTCCCACTTCAGCCCAGTGAGCCTAATGTGAGTCCATTTTTTATTTCCATAGCAGCTGTTCTTTTGAACCTTTGAATAGACATCTGATTTAGATTTTGAAGGAAGTCATTTTAGAAGCTAGGGCAGAATCTCATAAGCACAACTGGGATAAATCTAAGCCAGTGTACCACAGACTTCTTTAAAAAGGTAAGAAATCTGGTGGCTAGCAAGTAGAGTTGTTGTTAAATAGAAACCCATTGGACACATTTTCTTCCTTCAGGCTGTAAATTCAGTCATAAGTGGTTTTATGACCATTCCCTAACTTTGAATTTAATATAGAAAATGGATCTGTAGCCCAGCTACTCAAGGGGGAAAGCTTTTGTTTTTCTTTCAGTTTTATTGGATCCCTGCTTCTTTATGACTCTGTGTTGTCTGTTGGAGAAGACCGTTCTCATATAATGAGCTTTTATATCATTAAATTGGAAATGAAATAACTGTTGAAGATAGCAATGCCAGAATGAATTACCTGGCTTTTGACCCATCATTTCTATGACTAGTTAACTTGCCTGCTCTGGGGCAGGGTTTTAGGTGAATGCAATAAATAAGTCTAACTTGACCAAGACCACATTTATGTCCCAGGCAATTACAAGAAAAAATTTACAACAGTGAGAGGTTTGAAAAGTCATCCAACCAGAAAAAAAAAAAAGAAATGGGATTTAGGAAATTTACACATAGAATATATTGGGGTTCAAATCCTTACTATAAATGATTATTAAAATACTTACAATTCCATCTCGATCTGGTGAGCCTCTGTAATAAAAAGAAATTGACAGCTATTAAGAAAATGAATAATTTCTTTCTGTACAGACTGAAGACTGGCAGTAAAAATCATTCACCAGTTGGGTGAGATAGTACATGCCTATATTCCCAGCCCTCAGGAACTAAAGCTAGAAGATTGGGAGTTCAAACCAGTCCAAGACCCTGTCTCATAGAACTAACTGACCAAACAAAGTCAGTATCCATTACATTCATCCTCCCCTTTGTTCCAACTGTAGTAAAACTGGCTAAGGAAAATGAAATAAAAACAAGTAGATTGAATAATAATTGACTGGGGGGGTGTGGATGTGTGGGAGTGATATTCTCATTAAGAATGAAGTTGAAAAAGCATGATAGTGATACAGTGCCTTGGCCCATTTTGAGAGGAGAGTAAAGTCATTAAAACTAGCCCAGTCTAGCTGGCTCCATTTAAAACTATCACAAGACATACAAATGATTTCTTCTTCCTTATCATTCCCCTTATGAGTGGTTCAAAATTGTCTTTTGTCCAGAATTTATCTTGAGAATCTCTACTTTCTTCACATTTCTATATTTACATCTCCTTCAATTAAAATAGAAGAGGCGATGGAGGGCACTATTTTGCTAAGTGGTTTCCTCTAATGGCTAAAATCCAGGCAGTGATTCTGTGGCAGCACTATGCTCTGGTGGTGCTATCTTGTGGTGGCACTAGTCTATGGTGGTTAGGATCAAGGGCTTTAGAGTACAATCAGTCTTGAGCTTCAATCTCCACCACTTCATGGTTCTGTGACCTTGAACCTGTTACCTAACCACTCCTAGGTAATTAAAGTAAGATGAGATATATAATGAATGTACAGTAGCTCCTTATACTAATTATAAAAGTGTGATTTCATTGTCATTGTCATTTTATTTATTTATTCACTAGGAGCACAAAATATCCAACTTGCAACCACACTGGGTTTGTAGAACAAGGTAGCAAAGTTGTTTTGTCTTTTTTTCTGTGGGAAACTGGGACAGAACAAACAGAGGGAGGGAGAAGTAAGAGAGTGGAAATGGTTACTTGGTAACTTGTAATTTTAATTCATCTTGTAAAGAGCTTTAAAATGTCATGTTATTAACACACAACCAGAACTAAGCTTAGACAGGGATTTGTACTATGTTATTTCTACAATTTGGGTGGGGTTTGTCCTTTGGAAGTGGGACCAAGTAAGGAAATTGGAGCCAAAGGAGAAAGAGGGAAAGAGGTAGAGGTGGAGGAGAGAGCCATTAGAGAATCCAACAAGTAATTGAATAAAAGAGAGAGCCTAGAATACAGTGTGTATTAAACTAGATAATTATGATTCTATAGTCTGATTTAGCATACGGAGTGGAGAGATTGCAGCAGCCTCCAACACTTGAGTTGCATTCCAAGTTTATTTCCTAACAACATCCTGTGAAGTTTCATATGTTTTCAAAAATGTTTTGATTTTTCTAGACTTGTATTTTAAAGCTAATCATCTATCATGGACTCAAGTTTTTAAAGTTTCAGTTATTGCTTGCCATGATTGTCATCTTTCTTTTTGATCCTCCTATTTGGGTTATAATCTTGCCCATTCCTGTCTTTTCTTCGGTTTGATAAACACATAGACCCTCATTTCTAGACCAGGATTATTGGTTCTCAGCCTTATTTTCTACATGGCCTTCAGCAAGTGATTCCATTTTGGGCAGTGATTTCTCATTTCTTGAGCTGAGATGTTAATACCAACCTTATTGAATTATTGTTAGGATTAGAAAGGATCTCAGTGTAACAAAATATCCTGCACAGAGCCTGCCATTTAGCACAAGCTCTCTCCTTCCTCTTTCTGTCAGCCACCGTAATGATGATCAAATCAGAAGCTCTGGTCCTTACCCTACTCTCAGTCTTAGAAGGTTCAATCAGTAGCTGGCCGCTACTCTAGCAGGTTGCTTAGCAACCCAGAGCCAGCTGCAATGGCCCTGAAAACAGTTTGCATCAACAAAGTCTCAATGATTACAGGCTAACATAGGCATTAACTAAAGCTGAAGGGACAGCAAATTGCCAGAGCATTTTACTAATCCTTTTGTATTTATGACTCCTTTTCCAATAAATCTATGATATATGATCGAATTAGAGAGCAGGGGTTCATAAAATCTACAAAACAACAGCAAAGACTTCTACTTTTTTTTTTTTTTAAAAGCTTGTCCTTGACTATCACTACTAGGGGAACCAAAGAAGAGCCAATTTGCTATCCCAAAAATAATTGGGACATTCTGATGATAAAAAATTGAGGTGAGATGATTACAAACCAATGTCTCCTTAGAGGGCCTCATAGAGATGCTGGGCATCTACTTAAAGCCATAAGGAACAGTTTCTTCTCATAGATTTAGAAATGATGATTGAAGAACCATGCTTTGGCCACATGTAAGTGAGCTCAGCTTGCCAAAGAGAGGTTGTTTACCCTCTTCCTCCCACCCCCAACATCATTTCTTTGTCTTTCTAACTCTTTCAGACAACAGTAATGTCGACTGTAGTTAGAGTCACTGTCAATAGAATACTTGGCTTGGTTTCAGCAATGCTGTTCTCCTGCAACAATGTCCCACATAGCACATGGCAGTTTGGAGGTGGTATCAGATGTGGTTGACAGACTGCCTAGCTCAGTGCCTGGCCTTTGAACAAAACTAAATTTTTCTCTTTTTTTCTTTCTTTCTTTCCTTCCTTCCTTTCTTTTTTTGTCGGTTGTGGGACTTGAACTCTGGGCCTGGGCACTGTCCCTGAGCTCTTCAGGCTCAAAGTGAACGCTCTACCACTTGAGCCACAGTGACACTTCCAAAAAACTCAGTTTCATCTAGTGTGAACTTTTATTTTTACAGGGGAGAAACTGAGGCCCAGTGAATGAATGTGCGACTTCCACAGCTATGGAGTTACTGGCAGAACTGGAACAAGAGCCCAGGCATTCCAGCACCAGTGAAGGAACCGCTGCCTATCTTGATGTGGAGAAAAAAAATATTTAGAAGCAATATAAATTATATAATTCTCAGAAAAATATTCCCAACTTAATCATGTAGAGGAAAAAAAAATCTCAGGAGTACCATAAATGTTTCTAGTAAACAATAACTAGAAGAAAAATAACAAGAAAATATAAGAACAAGAGCTTGAACATTTTGTATCTAAATTTAAAAAAATAGCTTTTCCAATCCTCCATATTATCTGATGTAAAAACTTTCAGGTTTCAAGGTGACCCACTGACTACAGAAGGCAGACAAGGCACCTCAACATGGTATGTAATTCCCCTTCTATCTGGATTTCATCCCTTTCCAGCCTTGCCTTCCCTTTATCACCTTTTCTTAGAGTTCACTGGTAGACACTCAGCCCCATTTACCTTGTCCTAAATAACCACTGAATTTTCCCATATGGCTTTTGCCTTTGTCACTCCCTTTGTATGACCTCATATCCTCATTTTCTTACAGGCCAAACTCACGGTTCTCCTGCCCTAAAGTATCCATCAAATGTGAGCTTTCTCACCCTAACATTCCTGGGAAATTCCAGTTTAATCACTCATAAGGAACTCTTTACGATGGACTGTTTCAATAATAAGAATGGTAGCAGCTATCTTTTTTAATATAAATATATATATTTTATTGTAAAGATACTGTACAGAGGGGTTATAGTTACATGAGCAAGGTAATGAATCCATTTCCTATTGAGGGCAGCTATCTTTTATGAAGCATTTTTTAACTACTAAATACTACAGTAGGCCTATCAAATATGCTGTTTCACTTAGTTGTATAAAAGTTTTTAACAAATTTTTTGTAGTAGATATTTTAGACCATGAATTATACATTCATGGAGGCAATGCTTTAATTAAAATGTACAGAATGCAAAGCTAAAGATTGAAATAAATGTGACCTACTTTCACTTTTATTCATGCTGACACAGGTTTTATTTTCCTATTTTCTAATATTCTTTTAGGGATTCTGTATATGTGAATGGTTTAATGGACTCAATTTTTATTTTGTATGTGTATAATGGTATGGGGGCTGAACTTAGGGCTTGGTTGCTATTCTTTAGCTTTTTTTGCTCAAGACTAGAGCTCTACTACTTGAGCCATAGCTCTACTTCCAGTTTTTAAGTTGGCTAGTTGGATATAAGAGTCTTATAGACTTTCCTGCCCAGGTTGGCTTTGAACTATGATCCTCAGATATCAGCCCTCTGTGTAGTTAGGATTATAGGCATGAGCCACCAGAACCTGGCTGGACTCCATTCTTATAGACAAAAATCTCATCTCAGATTTGCGTTTCTACCTGTTCACAACCAGTTGCATTGACTAGCAGTTCTCTTTGTAAATTGATCTTGGGCTGGAATCTCAAGTTCCTGGCCAGTTGACTTCATGTATTAGTTATCTACCTGGCTCAAAAAGATACTTAAGAGTTTGTGTCAGAGTTAAATACTTCTGAAGGAGAATTAAAGATGACCAAATAAGTAGGATGAAATTGTTATGTTTTGAGATTAATTGTCCATGGTCAATTAATTCTCTTGGATATAACCACTTAAACACATAAAGCATACTCATAATTGTTCTGGCACTGGTTTCTTATTCACAGCCAAATATCCTATCATTCCTGCAAACTCTGTTAATTTACAATTATGTTTATACAAACTCTTGGCATCTCGAGCAAGAACTTTGGGATGTTATTTAGTATACATTTCTGGTTTTGGCTACTGCTAGTACACCTATACAGGTGTTTGGTGGTTGCTTTGGTCTAGAAGTAGGGGCAACATTAGAAAAATAAATGCATTTGTCATTTATGCCCCCTCCCCATCACCAAAATAACAATCACAATCACACCTTTTGCTTTTCAAGACCACTGAGAAGTATGAATATCAGGTATTTAGAGATGATGAAAAACTGAACAAATAATGAAAAATCTTCACCTTTTAGCAGAAATCAAAGAAGTATTTATGAGAAGCAAATACAGTTTACTCTGAAATGGGGTATCAGAGAAAAGAAATACATACTAATCAAAGAAACTCAATGACAATATTAGCAACTGTGACAACAGAATTTCTTTGGCAAAGTGCGGAAATAAACTCTTCAAGTACATACGTAGAATCAGTGTCCTTTTCTTTCTTCCGTATTCCAAAGGCCTTCCTTGTACGTTTTTTCAATCCTGCAGGAAAACAGCAGAGGGTCAAATAAACCTATCTACAGTGCAAGTGAGCATATTTTGAAAGTTACAGCAAAACCATTAAACTGGCATGTTCAAAAAGCAATCCAAGTTTCTTTGATCACATGTCTATGCGGGTATGTATATGCACATGACTCTGATTTTCAACAGATATATATCAAGGACTTGTCACTGTAAATTCTTAGGATTATAAGAAACATAAGGATGTATGGATCTAGAGAAAACTTGAAGCCTTTCTTAGACTACTATTTTATTCATCAATCAGATTGAGGCTATGCCAAGAAACTGAATCACAGATTTAGAATAGCTCTTTCTAGGGTGGGTATATTCTGGAGATTAGGATGACAGCAAGGGATAGACAATGCAAACCCCATACCAAGAGAACCATATTGGCCTGACACATTTCTGTGTCCTATATTCCCATCTCCATCTTCAGCTCCATGGTTGGACTGGGTTGTCAATCACTCTCTGAATATACCCAATGCTGACATTTCATTGTCCCTTCCATGCATGGTCTTTGCCTCTTGGTGAAATACACTGCTTATTTTGTCAGTATTTAGAGTCTCACCTGAGACCACCAGGTCACCTGCTGGTAAGTATCTCTCAATCCTACTGGCATAGGACTGTGACAATTTTAGGCTCCCTCCCTCAAACTATTGCTCTTGTATGTATTATAATATGTCCCTTGTACTACTCATTATTTACTACTTGTTCTGATAGACTGGGTGAGTCTTTCTAGGGCAGATGCCAAGGCCCCCACATTTCTATTTTCCTTACATCTCCTATTGCATCAAATAGTATGTATAAATTGAAAATATCTTCCCCAAAGCACGTCTCATGCAGCAGTGGGGGTAGGAAGTCCACTTTTTTCATCCTGACAAATCAAGGCCAGCATTGGGTTCTGTTTGTACTTCCCAATCACATTCATATTCCATTGGCACATGATGGTTATGTTGGCAAGTGCTTTTCAAGTAGGCTAAATGCCTACTTTGGACTTGCTGCAAGGCTGATTTTGTTGCAGAAATATTTCCCTGAGAAAATTAGACCTAGAAAAGTCACCGATATTTCAGGATTTGTTTGGCACTGCCAGGTGGAACAAAGGGAAAAACATTGCCAGAATCAGTGATTCCATGAAATCTTCTTCCAAAACATGTGAGTCAGCCTGAAGCGCACAGATTAGCTGAGTCATTAATTATCTGCCTCTTAGGATGCTGCTCAGATATAATCTCTGAAATGTCTTTGTGAAGTCTAACTTTTCATTTTAATAGTCATTCCATTTAAGACACTTAGGTCTTCAAAATGTCAATGTTTGTTTTTTTTCTTTGCCCAAAACAAATCTCCTCCTACATAAAGTTATTTTCTGTTATTCTTCACATGGCAAGTTTATAGGAAAACTTACATTTAAAGCTGTCTATAATATTTAGGAACAGTTTATTCCTCTTCATTTTTCTTTTCTTTTTTTTTTTTTTGGGTCCGGTTGTAGGGCTTGAACTCTGGGCCTGGGCACTGTCCCTCAGCTCTTCAGCTCAAGGCTAGCACTCTACCACTTGAGCCACAGCGCCACTTCTGGCTTTTTTTCATTTTGCTTATGTGGTCCTGAGGAATCGAACCCAGGGCCTCAGGCATGCAAGGCAAGCGCTCTACCACTGAGCCACCTTCCCAGCCCCTTCATTTTTATTTTCTCACATACAGTTATCTTATTCCCTTGTGACACAAACAACAGTTATATAACCATCATTTCCTTCCTCCAGTTTTACTTGGGTTTCAAGTATCCTAATTGGCCTTCTTCATGGTTCCAGTTTAGATTTGGATTCACAATGAATGCTTTGTTTGTGAGTCACTACTGGTGATTTTAGGACCATAAAATGCATACAATTATTATTTTATATTTTAAGTTCCTATTTCCTGCAACTCAACTTTTAATAACATAACCTACAAAATAGAAAAATAAATACAAAGCCCAGTAGAGTGTGTTAGTAACAGAGTAGTCAATAATACATTTTCATAGACACTGTCCTGTTTTTGACTGCCATGTCTGGGTAGAGCCAATGTGAAGTAGGTCATAAATGCCATGAGTTTTGTATTTTTTTTATAAAAGTGCATTAAATTGAGAGTTAGGAGACATAGAGTCTATTCCCAGTACCATTTATTGGCTCTTAATACATGTTACATTCTTTTTTTGTGTTTTAGTCACCTATAATAAATCAACTAATAATAAGAGATGAAAGAATTTTCACACTCTCATAAAATGCTATTCCAATCTGTAGCTTTAGTTTCTCTGAAGATCATGTTAGCAAGACATGGACTATACTTATACACAGAATTAAATTGAAATATTCCAAAGATGTAAAAGTGCAGGATAAAAAGAACCAAATTGTTGAATAAGTAAAAGCATTCACAAAATCCCCCATCCAGGGAAAGAGGAAGATTTGAAAATCTGAGATTAATGCAAATAAACTTATAAAATGTAAGTTATTCAGATCTGAACAGATTTAAGAGATTCCAGAAGAAGCAGTAGCATCAACTGTGTTAAAAGTGAAGGGAGTTGGGCACTGGTATCTCATATCTGGAATCCTAACCTCTCAAAAAGCTAAGATTTGAGGATAGAGGTTCAAAGACAGCCTGGACAATTACCCCTCAAAAAAAAAGCAGAAATGGTATAGTATTAGCCTTGAGCAAAAAAGCTCAGGTCAGTGAGCAGGTCTTGTGTTCAATCCCCAGAACCCCCTCCCCCCTACATACACAGTGAAGGGAAAGTTATGAGTATGCTTTTGAGAGTTTATTAAAATATTTGAAAAAAATCTCTTCAGAATAGAGAAAGATAATTAAGAGTATGATTAGAATAGCAAGCTTAAAATACATATTCAATAATCTGATAAACTTAAAACATATTCTATTCAATGATTTTCCATTTCTCACCCCCTTAACTCCCTGAAGATTTTTTGAAGTCATTTTCTATAGTAGAATGCTTTAGGTAGCAGGTAGAATGTTTTAGGTAGCAGGCCTAAATTTTGGTCCATTGTTCTTTACCAAAATTATTTTGTTATTTTCTATTTTTAAATAAGTTTTTTATTGTGAAAATACTGTCCAGAGGGGGTTACAGTTACATGAGCGAGTTAATGAGTATATTTCTTATCAAGCATTGTTGCCTCCTCCTTTGTTTTCCCCTACCATCCCTTCCTTCCCACTTCCACAATTACACTCCCCCGCCCCTAAATGGTAAAGTTCATTGTTCAACAGTGTCTTGTACATCTCATTGTTACAATGGGTCAGCCTGTATCGCTATTTAAACATTTTGTTTTTTCCCCTATCTTTAAATTTTGTGTGTGTGTGTGTGTGTGTGTGTACCAATATGGGGCTTGAACTCAGGCCTTGTACTCACCTTTGGCTTTTCACTAAAGGCTGGCACTCTACTACTTGAGTCACACCTCCACTTTCAGGTTTTGTTGGTTAATTGAAGATAAGAGTCCCATAGATTTGCCTGTTTGGACTGGCTTTGAATTGTGATCCTCATATCCACAGATCTCAGCCTCCTGAGTGCCTAGTAATAGTAAACACCTGTATCTGGCTAGATCTCTTTAAAAACATTAAGGTTCTATATAGATGCAGTCAAATACATCAAGCTATGCCCAATCATATTAACAAAATTTTTGGTAAATAAAATTCTCCTAATAATGAAATAGTTCTTTATGAACAAATGTGACTTATTTATACTGTAGAATAATGTTCAGCAATTGAAAAATAAATGTTTACATGTACCAGGCTCCAACACTGGCTACAACGTAAGTAGTATGAAAAGTGAGAGAAGCCAAACTCAGAAAGTACATATAAGCTGGGCGCTAGTGGCTCATGCCTGTAATCCTAGCTACTCAGGAGGGTGAGATGTGAGGATCACGGTTCAAAGCCATCGTAGGCAGGAAAGTTCTCGAGACTGTTATCTCCAATAAACCACCAGAAAACTGGAAGTGGCGCTGTGTTTCAAGTGGTAGACCACTAGCCCTGAGCTGAAGAGCTACAGGACAGTGCCCAGGCCCAGAGTTCAAGCCCCATGACCAATGGAGGAAAAAAAAAAGCTACATATAGTAATTTCATTTGCATCCTGGTAAATTCATTGATAGAGAAAGCAGGTTGGATATTGAAAGGGGCTGAGTGGAAGAGAAATGAGAAGTGACAGCATAATAATTACAGGGCTTCCTTTTTTATTTATCAAAATTCCAGATGTAGGGAGTGGTGATGGTTATATGACCCCGAAAATACACTCGCTGTCATCAAGCTTTAAGCTCTAAAGTGGCAAAAATCAAATTTTTTATTTTAAGTGAATTAACATTTCAACTAAAGAGAAGTAGAATATTTCAAGCCAGGTGTGATGAGGGGGAAATAGATGAGCTTCAAAAAGGAAACCAACAACAACAACAACAACAATGCTGGTTGCTGGTGGCTCATTTTGTAATCCTAGCTACACAGGAGGCTGAGATCTGAGAATCATGTTCAAAGCCAGACCAGGCTGGAAAGTTCATAGCCTCTCATCTCCAATTAACTACCCAAAAAGCTGGACCAGTGACACTCACTACATAGTATGTTGGAAATGAATATACATTTGGGGGAGGTGGGGAGAGGGGTTGGAAGAGGAAAAAATGGGAGAAAATGAAGCAGGGGGTAACACTGTTCCAAAAGAAATTACCTGACTCATTAACTGACTTTTGCAACTATAACCCCTCTGTACATTTACAATAAAATTTAAACAATAAAAAAATCTGGAAGTGGAAGTGTGGCTTAAGTGGTAGAAGACCAACCTTGAGTGAAAAAGCCTACCGAGAATTCAAGACCCTGAGTTTATAGTCCAGTACTGGCAGTGGGTGGGGGAGATAAGTTTTCCAAACCTTTTGTTATTAGCATATATTTCTAGTACCAAGTATTTCCATACTTGCATACAATGCACTTTGACCAAATTCATCCCGCTTATTATACTTTCTTTTCCCCTT